GTAGACTGAAAACGTAGGTCTGATGCGATGTGTCTCCAAAATGTGGGCCAATACGCCGAGTCACCATGCAACGCATTGGCGCGGACGTTTTGAGCACGCTACGTGTTGCGTATCGAGAGTTGCGTATCGATGCAGCTCAGATGAGAAAAGGTCACCCCTTTTTTTCGGCCATCTACCTTTTCCTGGCGGCGCGCACAAGGACAGGGGGCATGGGGGAGCGGGGGAGGCTTCTCAGAAGGAGGCCGCTTCTTGGAGGGCGCCGCCCCCACATCTGCAGCTAAAGCCCGCGCCTCCCGAAAAGCAGGGATGCCTCTGAGAAGCCTTCCCCCTCCGCCCTCTGCCCCCCCTTCTACGCGTGGCCGCTTGTCGGCTGATAGGGGGCCGGGGGCCACGATTGAGCAGGGACCGACCGTCCCAGCATTTCTACAAGCCTACCACGACATGTTCCTAGAACCCCAGGAAGTGTTCCAAGAACGGAAACCGTGTTCTCGGCACAGAAAAAAAAACCCGATGGCTCAGAAGAGGACGGTCTCAGCCAGAACTGCCCCAAGAACCCTGCGCCGTGCAGGCCGCCAGCGGGTTCTCCGAACAGTCTTAGGGGGGGCCTACAGACAAGCCGGGACGCTTCGCCACTGCTCGCCGCAAAACGAAGGATTGCAAAAAAACCAAGGATTGCAAAAAAAAGAATTGCAAAAAAACCCTTTTTTTGCACGAAGGATTGCAAAACAACCTTTTGCAATCCTTCGTCCAAGGGTTTTTTTTGCAATCCTTTTTGCAATCCTTCGAGAAGGTCTCCGGGCATCCTGGCCGCGGCCCGGCACCCCCCGCACGCGCGCCGCAGGCCGCGGGCCGCAGGCGGCGGCCGCGCCCGCCGGCGCCCGGCCCCGCCGGCGGCCATCGGCGTCGCGGGCCCAGGCCTCCGCGGGCGCTGCGCAGGCGTTCGAGCCCCGCGGAGTCGCCTGGCGCTCTGAGGGAGGGCGGTCTCTGCACAAGCGCGTCGATACACGACGAGGCGCTGCGTCGAGGCAGGAAGCGATGCTTCGGGCGCGTGCGAGGAGGCACTTCGCGAGGTAGTGGAAGGGGCTCGGTGAGAGCCTCTGGCAGGAGGCCGGAATCAAATCGACAAGTCGGATCGGGCATCGACAGGAACCGGGTCGGCGGAGAAATCGGCAGCCGAGTCGGGAGAAATCGAATCGGCATACATCGGCAAACCGCGCCCGCCCAAGTCACCGACTCGCACTCAAGTGCCCGCTGGGAAGTACCCAGCGGTCAGCGCCATCGCGGCCGCGTCAGTCGCGCCAAACTAGCTGGCCGCTGTGCGCGCGAGCGTGCGCGGGCTAGCGTGGCCGCAGAGATGCACCAGCCAACGCCAAGCACGCATCGCAATCGCCGCCGCATGAGTTTTGTAAAGCACGCTGGGTGGGTGGGAGGTTTGCATAGGCGTGGAATTTGTCCACTCATTTTTGAAAATCAATTGCACCACATAGATCACACCACTTATATCGTTTTACGTGTATTGTGCATCATATATGATACCTCATGAGCTGAACCGCCTAAACTGCAACACGTGCGTGGCGCAACCTAGATTACACCACACAAGTTTCTGCAAATAGATTGCACAACCTGTATTCGGCTACACATGTTGTTCCGCATAGATGTCACACAATGCCTTGCAACGCGCGAATTGCACATCATGCGCACACCGCATAGGTCGCAGCACATAGTGCAAAACAAATATGAAACACCATATATTGCACAACGTAGGTTGCACCATATTGCCCCACATAGGTTGCACAATACATCGTGTCCTTCGTCGTTCGCGCCACTTTTACTCCACAGCGTAGAATGCAAATCATATATTGCACTGCACAACGTCGATTGCACCCCATAGTTTGCTCCACATGTATTGCGCAACGTATATTGCTAGAGACACGTTGTTTGGTGTCCACGACGGCCAACATCCCCTTGAATATAAGCATCAACGTTCCGCTTGTGCCGACATGGCCACCAGCAGCAGGATATAGACGAAGGAAAAAGAACAAAAGGGGGGGGGGTAAGCGCAGGGGGCAAACACCGATACACGCCGAGCCTCCACCCCCGCACGCGCTGCTCCCGCCTGCCACTGCGCGCCCTGCTGCTGCTGCTGCTGCTGCTGCTGCCGCTCCCGCTGCCGCAGCTGCTGCTGCTGCTGCTGCTGCTGCTGCTGCCGGCGCAGGCGCGCAACAAGTGCGCGCCGCCCGCACAGCCCTTCGCACGCCGCCGGGCCCCAGACCGCACACACCCCGCACAGCAAGGGGGCCGCCCGCGCCGCCGCAACTTCGTGTGGGCATCCTACTCACTAGCTAACTTCCTCGAGTGTGGATATTCTATCGAGAAGGTACTTGGAAATTGTGTCTCCTGTTCAACAGCCACATTGATTGTGGGCCTCTTATTCAAAATCGTTTTTTTTGTGTGAGGAAGATGGGAGGAGACGCCGAAACTGTACACCACGCGGCTGGGGCGGACAAATCCTGCCCCCCAAGACAGGCAGCGGCCAAGATGTGGTGTTCGACTATACTATTGCATGGTTTCGCCATTGCAAGATCACTTCGCCGCCGGGGGCTAAAGGTCTCTTATTCAAAGTCTAGTTTGAATGCAGAGTTCAGATCAGGGCGCGGGCAGGCGCAGGCCGGCGCGGGCAGGCGCAGGCCTGCGCCGCCGTCCCCATTCCCGGGCCGCGCCCGTCCCTGCCTCGCACGGATCGGCGGCGAGCCCGGGGGCGAGTGAGAGGAGAAGGAGGAGGAGGAGGAGGAGGAGGAGGAGGAGGAGGAGGAGGAGGAGGAGGAAGAGGAGGGAGGAGGAGGGGGAGGAGGGCAGGCCCGAGGCGGCGGGGCACGGGGCTTCTCAGAAGCCCCGTGCGCCTCCTGAGAAGCCGTCTGTGTCTTCGGAGGAGGCTTAGGAGACTTCTCAGAATGCCCGAGGCCTTCTGCGCCTTTTGAGAGAAGGCCCGCCCCCTCGGCCTTCCCCCCTGGGATCGCCGCTGAATGGAGGGCGGAGAGGGGGAAAATGGAAAGGAGGATGGAGGAACCGTCGCTTCCGATGTGCACGACTTGCAGTACAAGCTCCGTGATCAAGACGGCAGTTTCGCGCCCAGCGTGATCAATCACGTGCTAGACATGGGGAGGGTGGGCGCATCACGAACAAGCGTTGAGGAGGAGGGTGGAGGAAAGGAGGTGAAGGATGCTTGGCTGGGTGGGTGAAAGGGAGGGGGGAGGAGTGGTATGAAACGGAAGACATTGAGTAGGAGGGAGGAAAAAGAATGCTGACCCAAAGGCCGTCATATATGACCCCGTCGCGATGGCCTCTCCATCAAGGCTGCGACGCTTACTTAAGACAAGGGCGAGATACGGCCAGAATCGGTACGAGGCGCGCGCAAGGGGCGTTCAGAGAAGGTGGAGAGCCACCTCAGCGTGGATCGCCACCGTCTCCGAGCCTCCTGCGAGGACCGCTCAGAAGGCAAGCGGGCGTCTGATAGGCGGGATGGCATAAACACATAAAACTGCCGGAGCTCCGCGCGGACCGTGGACGCGTGCGGAGCTCCAGCAGCTTCTAAGCTCATGCACGCTGCCTTCTGCGATTCTCAGAAGGGCGCCCCCTCTCGCCCGGCGCCGCAGATAGGGCGCTTTCCCCGAACCCCACCCTCCCCCTCAGACATCGTGGGGGGTAGGGGGTAGGGTTCGCATGTGGTCCCCTGTTGGCGCTCCGGAGCGGCTCGTTGCTCGTGGGGCAACCAAGCAGCTCAGGCGCCAACTCTGGCAGGGACGGTCGAACAGATGGCTGTTCATCGTCTGGGTCGCTGGCTGCGGCCTGGCAGCCTCGACGGCGGCGACGACGACCAACCAGGAAATCGATGCTTTCATGTTTCAGAATAAGAGTTTAATAAACAACGATAAGTAATAATAATGACAAAAACAGTGATAGTAATCGGAGTCGTAATCATACTAATGACAACGATAGTAATAATACGAGTAATAATGATAAGCATGCAGAAAAACATAAACACCACAACTAACATGTTTTAATCGTCCGCTCACCGATGGGGCGTGCGACCCCCCACGGGCATTTCTGAATCGCTTGTGCGCACGATCCTGGGGATGTCGCTTTCTCTGGGACCCGCTGCGCTCGATAATTCAGAAGCCGTGTGCTCACGCTGACGCGTGCTTGTCCTCAGGAGCCCTTCGGTACTTGGAGCGCGGCGCCTTGAGGACCGCCAGAGATGCCCCATCATAATCGGCGGAGGCCCACGAGGCAAACCTGCGTTCCACGGGCCATCAATCCACCGAGGCCACGATGCTGACCTGAGGGGGAACGTTAGGGGGGGACTGGCTCAGGGGGGGAAACGCCGACCTGGAATCGGCGATACATCGCCGAAAGATCAGCGATAGACTCCCGAAAGCGAATCCGCCCCCTATCGGCGATGAATGGGGGATTGGGGTCGATACATCTCGGGCGGGTGGTAATGGGGGGCGACCTAAACGGGGGGTGAAATCAAGGGGCACTTTGAGGCTCCTTTTGGGCCCCTCCCTGCTGGCTCCAAGAGGGTTCCGACAGGGCCCCTTCAGAGCCCTCTTCTCTCCACCCCCCAAACTGGGCCACCCCCCTCCACCACCCGCCCGAACATCCCCCCCCTGAGCCCACTCCCCCGTAGCATTTAGGGGGCCACATGTGAACCCTACCCCTACCCCCCACGATTTCTGAGGGGGAGGGTGGCGTTCACTTCGCTCCCCCTCAGAAATCGTGGGGGGTAGGGGTAGGGTTCGTGGCCCCCTAGCATTGCCCCTGATGCTCTTCTGGGGCCTCAGCGAACAACATCCGGTGCGCCTCCCGCCGCGCCGGCCGCGGACGCCGTGCGCCGCCCGCGCGGGCCCGAGCCGCGCCAGCCGATCGCGGCGGCGCGGCTCCCGCCGAGCTGCGAGCTCGGCCGCGCCGGCCGCGCGGCCGCGCAGCGCCGCCCCGCCCACTCACGCCGCGCCGCCGCGGTCGGCTGGCGCCCGCGCGCCTGCCCCGCGGTCGGCCTGAGGGCGCGGCCGGCCTTGCCGCCTCCCCCCCGCCCGTCCTCGCGGGGCCCCCCCGCCGTTCCTCTCGGCCTCCCCCAGGGGTCCCCTGCCTCCCCGAGGTACAGAAGGCGTGGCTGGAGGACGAGGACGAGCCAGCGCCCTCCTGAAATGGCTCCTCTCTGACGCCTTCGGCGCCACCGGGGCCGCCGCCATCGATCGTCGTGACGGCCCTGGCGTGTCTGCGGCTGTTCGATCGCTAGGTCGTTCTATATTGGCCGGTGCCCCCTCCCTTATCCCTCCCCTCAGCCCTTCCAGCCCTCCGCCCCTCTCCTCGCCTCGCGTCCTGCGTTCCAGCTCTCCCGCAGTCTTCCACCCTTTGTACAATTATACATTGCGTATACTACTTCCCTCTCTCCCCTGGCTCTGCCTGGAAGATAACCGGTTCTCTCCGCGTGTGCTCCCGCTGCAGCGTGGGCCTCATTTGCGGATCGGCGTTTTCCTTCCGTCGGTCAGAATGGCGCTCTCGCCCCAGCGCGGCCCACTTTTCAGGATCCGCATCATTTTTCATCGCTGTCGCCCCCCATTCCCCCTCCGCCCTCCCCTTGTCCTCCTGCTCCTCCCGATCCTTCCACTGCAATTTCGGCTGCTGCTGTTCGTCCTCGTGCTCCTCCTTCCACATCCTCGTCCTTTTTCTCCTCCTGTTCCTCCTGCTCATCCTCCTGCTCATCCCCCATATCCTAATTTATTTTCCTTACGAAGTACTCCTGTCGCACCCCTAGGCCAATCGGAAGGGCGGGCCGGGCGTTTCACTTGAGACTTCCTTACCACATATTAGCCTGACTCATAAACACTGGCAACAGTTTCACACATTGTAGGCGGCCCGCTTCCAACATGTGACTCTCGCCTTAGCGCCGCGCGCACTCGTCTTAAACGTTACAAGAGCTTCACGGGTTGTGGGCGGGTTGTTTTCAACATGTGACCCTCGCCTTAGCGCCGCGCACGCTCGTTTTAAACATTTGCACGAGTTTCGCAGATAGAGGGCGGGTGGTTTTCAAACTGTGGCTCTCGCCTGAGCGCCGCGCACATTCGGTCTAACAATTTGCAAGAGCTCCACGGATTGAGGGCGGGCGATTTTCAAAATGTGGCTCTCGCCTTAGCGCCGCGCACATTCGTTTTAAACGTTTGCAAGAGCTCCACGGATTGAGGGCGGGTGGTTTTCAAAATGTTGCTCTCGCCTCAGCGCCGCGCACTTTCGTTCCAAATCGTTGCAACGGGTTGAAGAATGTTCGTGGTTTACTTGCCAGGACTTGCGCTTTTGAGCGGTTCAGGATTGAAAGGGCGCAACTATTTGGCTGATTCGCGGTGTCAAAATCCCAAGCACGGCGTTCTGGCTTGATCCAGGGTCGTCAAGACGCAATCGTCAGGTTGACTCGTGGCGTTGAAGTCCTGAGAACGGTATTTTGGCACGCTTTAGGGTTTTCACACAGTTGTCCCCCAACGGGGCAATTCCCTGTGGACATGAACCCTTGCAGGGACCTACGAAGAGGGAGCTCAGAGGGAGGGTGTATTCCAGCATCTTTGATGAGTTCTGGGGTTACGCAAGTCCTCCTCCTCCTCCTTCTCCTCCTCCTCTGTACGCAGCTCCCCTTGTGTCCGAGTGCGCAAAAAAACGATGGCTTGCTTTCAAGATCCCCAGGCCGGCTATGGCGTCAGCAAATAGAGAACAATTCAGCGCAATGGGAAGGGAGGGAGGGAGGGAGGGTGGGGTATGATGTCAGATGTGGCGCGAGCGCACCTAGCTTGCCTCCATCTCTCTCTCTCTCACTCTTTATTCCACCCATCCCCATCCCTCCCTCCTTCCTCTTCCTGTCCTCTACAAACCGTACTCCTACTTGCTGCTCTTTCTGCTCGTGCTGCTGCTGTTCCCTAACGCCTCCTCCTCCTCCTCCTCCTTGCCTCCCCTCCCTTCCCCCCAGCCTCCTTCGTTTTTTTTCCCTCGTCCCCTCCCTCTCCCCCTACTGTGACCTCTCTCCCCCAGATGATTCAACCCGCCCTTTTTCCTCTGTTTTTCCTCCTCTCCCACGCACCCTCACCCTCTCCCCGCGAAGTCCTCCTCCTCTTCCCCCCCACCCCGCCTTCATGGCCCTCTCCCTCGCCTGGCCCTCCCCTCTTGAAGTGGTGACGGGCAGCTTCATGTGAAGGAGCCCTGGGACACACACATAGATAGACATGATAACAGGATTCCCTATATTTTCCTATACTTGTTTACTTTCGTCTTCCCCCCACGTCCCATATTTTCCCATATTTTCAGGGGAATCGACGATTAATTATGTCTGTGTGTTTTTTTCCCTCCGGATCATTGCGTGATGGACAGTGGGGGGGATGTCTTATTATGCAGTGCTGACCGCTCTGTCGACCCTCCCTCCTACCCCCGAGGCCTCGCAGAGGGCCGAGGCTCACTGCAAGACCTCCTCGACACCCCGAGGCTTCGCAGCACATCCGGGCGGCCCTTGCCGCAGCAGGGGCCGAGCTGAGGCCCACCCCTCCGCGCCTCTCCTCGCCCACGCAGTGCCCCCCAGCCTCGGCGGCCTGTCTGCTTCCCTTACGCTCCTCCTCCTCCTCCTCCTCCTCCTCCTCCTCCTCCTCCTCTTCCTCGTGCGTGCGGTCGGCCCGGCGCCCGCTGCGATCCGCCCCTCCCGCCACCTCTGGCTCCCCCGCTCGGCCGCCTTCTCGGGCAGCGACGAGGAGTCGGAGTACCCCTCGCTGCCCTCCGAGGCCGACGGTGCCGCGGCCGCCGCCTGGGCTGCCCGCCGAGGCGGGGGCGCCAGCCGCGCGGGCAACGTCTGGACCGACGGGCACGCGCGGGCTCCCTCCACCACCACCCCTGCCTCGCATGCGGCGCACCCTGCTGCGGCGGCGCGCACTTCCGTGCCCACCCTGGGCTTGAGGCGCACGCCGGGGATCATCATCTCGCCCCCCTCCCCCATCTCCTCCACCTCTTCCACCTCCTCCTCCTCCTCCTCCTGTGCTTTCTGCTCGCTCTCCTCCTCCCCCTCCTCCTCCTACTCCTCCTCCTCCTCCTCCTCCTCCTCCTGGGTTGGAATCGTGGTGCTACAGTGCGAGAACACATGCCCAATCTCTACCTACGCTGCTCCCAATCCTGGACGATGTCCTTCCTGTATTCGCACCCGCCGATACTCCGGATGGCACATGCGGGAGAAGTAGCGCCCTCCGCACATTGCTTGACTTTCTTCATGCTGGCGCCCACTTCTCCATTCACCCGCATCACGAGATCCCGCCACCGTGCCTCGTGCACGCTGAAGCGTGGAAGAATACCAAGGCCTGTCTGGTTGGGTTTCTGCAGTTTTCAAAGGCCCCCCCCGTCTCGAAGCACCCACCTGCGTGCTTCCCCCTGCTCTTCCCGAAGCCACGGTCCCTGGCAACGTGCAACAGATTCGTGCTCCCAAGGCCCAGGTGCCTCCAAGACGGCCCTGCATCCCTCCAAGGCGGGCCACGTCGGCCTCAAGACGGCTCAAGTTGGCCTCGAGACGGCCCACGAGGCCGTCGAGGCGTCCAGAGAGAGCCCCAAGAGCTTTCCCCAGATGAGCTCTAGAGGTCAAAATCATTGACGTCCCTCTGATTATTCCATGTTTTTCGGGTTCTCGCCTTTTCGAGGCTCCGACGGCCCAAGATGACCCAAGAGGCACCCAGGACTGCCCCAAGACGGCCCAAGAAGCCCCCAAAAGGGCCACAAGACGGCCCAAGAGGTGCTCAGAAAGGGCCCCACGAAGGCCCCAAAAGGGGCCCAAGAGGGTGAACACGAGCTGACAATTCGAGCCTTCCGCCCCAAGAGGGCTCAGGAAGCCCCAAGAGGGCCGAAAGAAGCCCCCGAGAGGCCCCATAATAGTGCACCGGAAATCCAAAACCATTGATTTGTCCTTAGCTTTTTCAGTGTTGTTTGGGTTCTCGCCTTTCCGAGCTCCCGACGCTCCGAGACGACCCAGAAGGGCCCCCAGGACACCCCCGAGACGGCTCAAGAGGCCCGCAGGAGAGCTCCAAGACGGCCCCAAGAAGGGCCCCAAGATGGCCCAAGACGGCGCCCACGGCTGCCCAACGGCTCCCCAAGACGGCCCCCCTAAGGGCCCGAGAGTGGGAGCACGGACCCGGAATCCGAGCCTCCTGCCCCAAGAGGCCCAAAGAAGGGCCCCCTTGCCATCTCGAGCAGCTGCCGCCCATAAATGCTGCGCTGGCCCGGTGGCGGAATTGCCGGAGGCAGCTGGCCGCGATATCCGGGTCATCCTGCCATGTTTCTTCCGCCTCACTCGGGTCGGGCGAAAGGGGGGGATAGCAAAGGGGGGGTTTGAGAATCAGCTCACGTAGCTGATTTTCCCGGCGCCTCCCGGCGCCGGAGGCGGCTATGTATCGAGGAATGGGCCCCTCGGCGAGGCCGAAACCAGCTGCATGCAGCAAATTTCGTAACCCCCCCTTTCCCAATCCCCCCCTTTCGCCCGGCCCGACTCACCAGAGCCGCATCGTGGGACAATGCGGGGCATCGCCTTGCGGACTATCTTCAGCAACGGCTCTCTGGCCGTGTGCACCTCCTGCGCAGGTCAACAGGTCAGCATGCACGGAGGATAGATAGGGGCCTCCATGACGGGGTCGGAGTAGATGGGGTCGAAGGATCGCGCCGCATCGCCGATACATCGGCGATGCATCGGCGACGCATCGGTGATGCACCGGGGATGCGTCGTCGACGTCGGCGATGCATCGGCGACGTCGACGTGAAGCAAATCGGGCTCCGCATCGAGCCGCATCGGCGATGCATCGGCGATGCGGCGTGATCTTCCGACCCCATCTACTCCGATCCCATCTGGGAGGCCTAGAATAGTGGGCCGAATCTCCACTCTGCGCTGTCCATGCCGTGTGCAATGCCCGCCTTCCCAACGGATCCCCACTGCAGCACTTACGTACGCCTTCCCCTCGGGCCGGGTCCAGGTCTGGAGCACCCCCTTCGCCCTCCATCCTCCTCGTCCTCCTCGGTGCCTGAACCGACAGAAGGCATCCTTGACCAGCTCGAGCTCCAACCAGCACTGTAATGGATTGCGCCCGCCCATATCGTCTGTAACGAGCACACCGAGATGGAACGCTGTATATGATACATATCTTTATATATATATATATGTATATATATATATATGCAAATCTTGGCCTGGAGGCCTCCGTGCAAGCCTCCGGAGGCCCAGAGACAAGCAAGAACAATCAAACACCTCGATCCTCCGCCCTCCGTCTTCAACAAATCTTAGATCGGGCATGTCCCCCTACAGACGGATTTTGGACGAAAATTTTTAAACATATTCAGAATTTACTCAACGATCATCATAAATAGACCAGAAATCGTCCCCATGGTATTTTATTGACTATTTTTGAATATTCCTCCTGTAGAGGGACATGCTCGACTTTAAAATAATCCTCCTCGCCTCGTCGTCAATGACGGAGGGCGTGTGGTAAAATATGGTGGCACGACGAGGTGGACATGGCGGCCGATGCAAAAGCAGTTGGGGCGAATTCACCAGCCGTAGAATGGATGGCTGCGCTGTCCCAGAGAGACCCCTCGAACGTGGACCGCGACATAGACAGGTGGTTAGCTGATGCGTCATTCAATTTGCCGCTGGATTAGATCCATACTGCCTTCGGTTGGCAAACCCCTCCAAAGCCAAGGGCGAGGGCCCCGGGGCGCGGGGCCTCGACATGAGCCCCACCAGCTCGCCCAGAAGTGATGCCAACGCACTTGGAGAACGCACATGGGCCTTGGAAGAATTGGCATTGTCTGGAAGGGGAAGGTTCGCGGCGCGCTGGTACATGAAGGGGCCCCAGGACACACAAACAAAAACATACAAATAAACATATTCCCAATCTTTTCCTATATCCGCCGGCCCCCTTGTGGGGCCACCAGGCTGCGAGGAGCGGGATTCGCAGTTTCCTGTACCAGTTGTAGCTTGTAGTTTCCAGTGTTACAGTTCTGCTTATTGCTGGTTGCTGTAACTAGTTGATTGACCGCGCGAGGGGGGGGAGGCCCAAACCGGCTTTTTAGCACCCCCTGGGCGCGTTGTCTGAATTACTGGGGGGGCTCGAAATCGACACCCCTCACGCAGATCCGCGGGGTCAGGGTCCAAAAACACAAGGGATTTGCCACATTTCTGAAATTCGGTGCCACCCCTCACGCAGATCCGCGGGGTCAGGGTCCAAAAACACAGGGGATTTGCCACATTTCTGAAATTCGGTGCCACCCCTCACGCAGATCCGCGGGGTCAGGGTCCAAAAACACAGGGGATTTGCCACATTTCTGAAATTCGGTGCCACCCCTTCACGCACATCCATCGCAAGGCGTGGTAACCCAAACTGCGAGAACTCCCTCGGCCCTTTAATCGCAAGGTGTGGTAACCAAGCCCGTAAACCATACACGTCTTACCAATCGCCAGGTGTGGTAACCCCTCTTGTGATCAGTTGGTTTTGCTGATTGCGAATCGGCTTCGCATGAAGTTTCGATACTGCTTCACGACAGCGCCAAGACCTCATGACTTAACTCTTCCATGGCCCATTCTCCGAGAGAGGGGGCCGGCGGCAGGGGGCGAAGCCCTTACGGATTTTCTGGGTTTTCGTCTTCCCCCCCACTTCCCATATTTTCCCATATTTTCCTTGGAGTCGACGATTAATTGTGTCTGTGTGTTTTTTCCCCCTCCTGAGTACAGCCCGTGCGCGCGAGGGCCCGCCGAGAGAGCGAGGCGGCACGCCGGTGCGGAGGGCGCGCCTTCAGGCTGTGCGCCATCGCGCACCGAGCCCCGAACATGCAGCTTCCTGGCTCGGGGAGGGAAGGAGCAGGAGGAGGAGGAGGAGCAGGAGGAGGAGCAGGAGGAGGAGGAGGAGGAGCAGGAGGAGGAGGAGCAGGAGGAGGAGGAGGAGGAGGAGGAGGAGGAAGAGGAGGAGGAGGAGGAGGAGGAGGAGGAGGAGGAGGAGGGGCGGAACTTCCTGCGGGCTTTTGGGCGGATTGTTGGAGGCCTTTGGGACGCCTCCTTGGGCCTCTTGGGGGCGTTTGGGAACTTCTTGGGGGCCTCTGGGGCCATCTTAGAACGTTCCCGACCCGTCTGACGCTGTCAGAATCCGACTTGGATCCCTCTTGGGGCGCTTGAGGGCCGTCTTGGAGGCCATCTTGGCGGTCGTCTTGGAGAGCCTGCCCCGGGGGATCTCCGAAGATCTTTAACGTTGGATGCCCGGAGTGGGTGCGGAAACCAGGGGCACGATATCAGGGGAACGAACAATGACATGAACATACAACTCGGAGACCCGCGCAGACTTCTCGGATCGGCGCTGGACCTCCCTGGCGGCGCCTCTGGCGCCAGCGACGGGGGGTCCATCGCCGATCCGATCCGCGCGGACCTCCGAGTTTCAAGGCGGCGCAGCCCGGCCGCCTGCGCCGGCCGCCCGGACCGCACGCGCGCGCGGGTCCGCGCGCTTCCCGCCGCCATTGCTGGGCGTGCGCCCATGGTGGCTGTTGTGGCCCGGCCCGGCGCCTTGAGCGTCAGCACCAGCCCTGCTGGAGCTGGCGAACAAACCGGTCGGCTACGGCTTCCTCCCTGGACTCCGACACGGACCCGTGCGAGAGGCCCTTTCTCGCGCGTGTCTTCGTTCCCGACGCCTTGGATCGGGGAGGAGCTCGGCTTCCGCCTCTCGCATTTCCGTGCCGGGCTTGGTGTCAGGCGGACATCGCGGTCTGCCATGGAGCCCCCGCCAGGCATGTGGAGCGAAGTGAGCCCTTTCGACGATGTGGATTTGGAGATGGCTCGCCTGCAGAGGCGCCCGGGTTCGCATGCGCCCCCAGCGAGGCAAGTCCGTCCAGTGGTGCACCTGCGGAGGTGGAGTCGGGCGGCGCGGGAGCGCTCGCGGAGCCCGCCGTTGGTCAGCCGGCCTCCGGTGCTCCCGCCTGCGCCCGTGCTGGCTCCCCCAGGAGTTCAAGGACCAGGAGAAGGTGACTGGGCGGCACTCCCAGCCGCCGCCGCCGAAGCAGATGCTCTCTCGTCGTCCCGGCGCCTCCGGTGACGCCATGGGAGCTTGCCTGCTGTCCCGGAGGAGGTCCAGTCGGAGACGAGGAGGAGAAGGAGGAGGAGGAGGAGTACGAGGAGTACGAGGAGGACGAGGAGGACGAGGAGGAGGAGGAGCCGAGGAGAACACGTTCGAGAATTCAGCTCTTCCGCGCCTGGAGCCGCCAGCGCCGCCGCCGCCGGCGGCCAAAGTGATTTTCCAAAGTTGCGGAGGTCCAACGCTCGAGGCCCCGGCACTGCCGGCAGCTCCGGAGACGGGGTCGCTTCCTCTGGGGCCTCTGTCTGCTCCGAGGGTGCTCTTGAAGAACAAGGTGACTGTGATTCCGGCGCCGCCTGCTGCTCTGGCGGCGGCTGGGGCCCAGCCCACCCGGACACGCAAGCGTAAGCCCAAGAAGAAGAATAATAATAAGAAGGGACACATAATAAGAATAATAGTAATAATAATGATAGTAATAATAGTAATACGAATAATAATACTACTAATAATAATGATAATAATAAGAAGAAGAACAAGAAGAAGAAGAAGAAGAAGAAGGACGCCCGCTCGGAGGCCAAGCTGGGCTTGGAGGAATGGCCGCTGGCCCCCCCGCCGGCGGAGGCTGCCTCGAGCAGTGCTGCGGCGTTGGTGCCGCCGACGCCTCTGCTGGCAAGTCTAGTGCGCACCCCGCCCCGCAGGAGGTGAAGACTTTGGAGTTCTTCATCGGTGACCGTACGCGCTGGCGAAGGAAACACAAGAAAAAGGAGGATTCCGCAGATTCTTTAAATGCAGGTTTGGCTGAGTCTCCATCTGAGGATCGCCCTTCAGTTGATTCATATCTGCGCACTCGTTCGGTTGAGCCTCCATCTAAGGTTCGCCCTTCTTCTCAAGATCCTTCTTCACGTACTTGTTTGGCTGCACCTCCATTTGAGGTTCGTCCTTTTTTGGCAGATCCTTCTTCATGTACTTGTTTGGCTGAGCCTCCATTTGAGGTTCGCCCTTCAATTGAAAGTTTGGCTGAGCCTCCATATGGGGCTCGCTCAGAATCTGTCTTCTCGTGCTTTGAGGCCGTTTCTGCCATCGATGCTCTACCAAATTTGGAACGTTCAGTTGCCGATCATGTTCTTGAGCTGCCTCCTTCGGTTGAGGCGCACACGGACGAGTCGGTAACGCACGCTCTTGGATATCAGGTGACGTCAGCGGTGGAATTTTGATCGTGCCTCCATCGATTGATGATGGCCCGCCTCCTTGGCAGCCGCCTCCCACTGTGGAGGCCGGCCCGGCGGAATCTCAGGATGTCTCCATCGACCCTGTCGCGTCGACAGGTCTTGCACCCTCGGGCACGAAACCGTCTGAGGGTCCAATTTTGGACACGGGCGCGAGGACGCTCTCTGACTCGGAATGTGAGCTGCTTAGCCGTTTTTTTTCTGACGGCGCTAAGGTGCTCGCCGTGCTACGGGCTAAGCCGTGGCTGGTGGCCCCCGCGAAGCGCGCTGCTTCCCCGCTTGTCCTGGCAGGAGCTTCCTCGCTCATGCTGGTCGTATCGGCCTTGCAGTGTGTGTGTGTGTGTGTGTGTGTGTGTGTGTGTGTGTGTGTGCTGACCTGCAGCGGTTTCGGGTTGGCGTAGGCCGCGTGGGCCCGCTTTCATTTATACTCCTTTATTTTCCTGCTTGTTAGTCCCCTCGGGAGCCTAGCCTTGCAGCGGTCCACAGCAAACGAACATTCTTCGTTCCCCTAGAAGTGGGTGCGGAAAACAGGGGTACGATATGCCCAGCAAGCCACCATGACCCACACCAGCGGCGGCCGCTGTTTGGCGGGCAACCTTGTACCTCAAACGGACAACGCCCGCGGCGGCGCGGCACCGACAGTGAGTCCAGCTCACAATGGGCAACAACTGCTGCTGGCCTTCCTTTCCACTCTTTCCTTATGCATTTTTCGATCGTGCCGACCAGAGACCTTTTTTGTGTGTGTGTGTGTGGTGGGGGGGGGGGGGGGAAGGCGGGCGGAAGGAGGGAGGGCTGGGGGACCGAGGGCCGAGGATCGAGGTTCTCGCGCGTCCAGCCTTTCTCTTGGGGCTCCGGGGGGCGTACTCGCCGCCTCGGCTGGATTTCCGCCTCGGATCTCTGGTCCGACGGCGCCCCAGGACAAGAGAGGGGAGAGAGGAGGGACGGAGGCGGGAATGGGAAACGCAGGAGGAGGAGGAGGAGGAGGAGGAGGAGGGAGGAGGGAGGAGGGAGGAGAGGAGGAGGAGGAGGAGGGAGGAGGAGGAGGAGGAGGAGGAAGAGGAGGAGGAGGAGGAGGAGGAGAGGAGGAGGAGGAGGAGGAGGAGGAGGAGGAGGAGGAGGACCGAGGAGGGACGAGCGAGGGAGGTGGGAGGGAGGAGAATGGAAGGAGGTGGTGAAGGAGGGAAAAGAGGGAGGAGGGGGAGGAGGGAGGAGGAGGAGGAGGAGGAGGAGGAGGAGGAGGAGGAGCAGGAGGAGAACGCTGCTGCTCTTTCCCCCCACCCCCCGCTCTTCTCCTCCTCTTCCTCCTCCTCCTCCTCCTCCTCCGTTCAAGACTTTCAAGACTAAGCAAGGATGATCATGCGGCGCCGCAGGCAATTCAATTGCACAACCTGCCGTAGGAGTGGCTCCCAAGGGCGGGACAAACAGAGAGACACGGTACCACGCTGGCTGCTTTGCAAAGCAACTCCTCCTCCTCCTCCTCCTCCTCCTCAAGCAAATCCATCTCCATGGAAGACTATGTTCGGTAAGTTACTGGCAGTCTCAGCCTGGCAGCAACTCCTGTCCTCGAGGATCGGACTCGAGGAGGCTTGGGGGGGGGAAGGGCGAGGGGAGGCAAGGAGAGGGGGCAAGGAGGACGGAAGGACCGAGGTGGTCCCTGGAGGGGGCAAGGGGCAAGGTGGGGGGCAAGGAGGAGGTGGTCCCTGGAGGAGGGAGGCAAGGAGGGGGCAAGGGGCGAGGTGGCCCCTGGAGGGAGGCCGCGGAGGAGCCCGCGGCGCTCGCTTTGCCTTCCCGGGGCGCGGGCGGGCCCCCTATCAGCTGGACGGACGGCCACCCAGGAGGCAAAGCTCCCCGCAGAGGGAGCCACAATCAAGTGGGCAGATCGCTGCCCTCGGTAGCACCTCTCGAGATGACTCGAACGATACGAATAGTTTCGCGGACCTAGCTCGAGTAGCAGACCGAGTTCAGACCTCTGGATGCAACAGACGAACGCGCCTGATTATTCTGCATCTGCTTCTGTGCGTATCAGCTCTGTAGCCTCCCTAGAGCTCGAGTTAAGTACAGAAAACCGACAGTCCCTGTCGAGCGGGCACAGTGACACGGCACGCACATGAACAAACGAGCACTGTATGTTCTCCTCGGAGGCGCGCGTCCGGCCCAAACATATAGCATACCCGTCTTGTAGCAGATCGTTTCCCGAGCGGTGTGGCCGGAAAGCGCCCGCCACGACGCATATGCCAGAAGATCTCTCGGTGCGCGCATCGCCCCCAGGGGGGCGACGCACATGTAGTATAAGTATGTTAGGGTGACGCCGGTGAAAGGCGTGGTCTGGCCACCTCCTTCGAGCACTAGCTTAGCAAGGTTGGGCGGCAACGCTTGACATGGACAAGGGCGTCTGGACCAACCACTGTTGAAGCACATTTAGCATCTCATGGGGCAGCAGGCCTCCTAGGTCTCACGGATCTCACACACATCTATATCGGCTTTGGCCTTTCCTGGAGGATAGAGTCGGCTCCAACCACGAAGTTCTGCTATTATGCACACGCTCTCGAGAACAGGTCGACCGGATTATTAGGGAGCCCATTAGCTCGCGAACCACGTCCTGCCAAATGGTATGTGAGGGAATTACCCATAACATGGGCTCGGTGAACCTCATCCCGAGCTGTGCTTTCATTTCGGAGACAAAACACCTTGTGAGGACATGGGGTTCTGGACCACTACCTAGAAGCTTCGCTGCTAGTTTCCGATACTGTGAATATGTATCCTTTCCTGGCATGGCCCTCACCGACCGTGCTGAACATGAACCTAGAGCACTGCAATCACACATATACGAACTGCTGGAAGCCTGGGTTGACCTGAGACTAGCTGTAGACCCTACAGCTTGCTTGCAGCCCCTGAGGTCTGGGGCAACGCGGCGGGCAAACCCACCATACCACCCTCAAATGCCTGCACTCCTCCTCCCCCTCCTCCTTGAAATCCCTCTCTTTCCCTTTTCTTCCTCGTCCTCCTCCTCCTCGTTCCTTCTTTATCGCTGTCCTTCTCCTCCTCGCTCCTTCCACGTGGCTCTTCCCTCCTCCTCCTCCTCCTCCTCCTCCTCCTCCTCCTTCATCAATGATTACGAAGGAGAAGGGGGAATGAATCATCATCATTCACCCTCCCTACTTCATCCTCCCTCCCTGCCCCCCCTTCCCTCCCACTCCCTGCTGGGTCACCGCTCCCGCCCCTCCCGCCGCGTGCCCCCGCCGTCCTCGCAAGTGTGCGGCGCAAGGCATCAACTTGCTGCGCAGCAGCACGTCGGGCATCTGCCGGGACGACCTCGGCGAGGGGGCGTCTCCCTCGATGGTCCCCAGGGCGCGTGCCAGCGCAAGCGTGTGCCTGTCCACCGAGGCCGCTCGGCACGACGCGGGCGATGACCAGCAGGGGCTGCGCGCTGTCGGTGGGGCTGAACGGGGTAAGCGCATTGGGCTGACACGCGTCCCGAGAATCATCGACTCCCGCCCCCCCTCACAACATTATAGAGCCGGCGGTTGCGAATCATGTTGTGGGTGCGCCAGCCACAATCACGAACAGCACCAGACATGCGTCGTGCACCAACAGCTGGAAGTCATAATTGGCGCCTCACTGTTTTAGAAAAGGAAGAGCCAACCCGGATGCCTATTCACTTCGGCAGTGAGCGGGGGGGGACTGTTTCTCAGAAGGCCGGAGGCCTGCTGAGCTTTCAAAGAAGGCCCGCGCCCTTTGCCTCCTCGAGGAGGCAGGGCCTCCGGGGGGTTCGGGGGGCATCTGCCCGCATTGGGCCCTCTTTTTCCCAACCCTCCTGCGTTGGGTTCTCGTTTTGAGTCGAGCGCTGGGGTCACGTCTTCCTTACTCCGCGTCCCTCCTCCTCATTCCCTCCTGCCTCTCACCTCGCCCTCGTGCCTCCCACCTGCCTGCCGGCCTGCCTCCTACCTCGCCGTCCTAAGTGACCTCGCCATCCCTGGGGGGGCTGCCGTCTGCGAAACTGACGCCATTTTCGAGGGCTGCTGGGGGGTCCACTTGAATCACGTCGCACGAAGATTCAGACTCGACCTCGCCATCCCTGGGGGGCTGCGAACTGCGAATCTGTCGACACTTTTGTGGGCAGCCAGGAAGTCCACATGAGTGACGTCGTACGCAAATTCCAAACCGATCTCGCCATCCCACAAGGGGGGCTGCGAACTGCGAGTCAGGTGTCCACCTTCGAGGGCTGCTTGAAGGACCAGCGGAGTGACGTTCTACGCAGACTCAGAAAAAAAAACCTCACCATCCCTGCGGGGCTGCGAACTGCGAGTCTGTCGACACTTTCGAAGGCTGCCGGGGGGTTCAAAGGAGTGACGTCTTCCGCACATTCAAATTCGATGTGGTTCTTCGTGCTTTGAAAACAAAGCTCCATGTTGTATTTTTGGGCTCTTGACGCGCCGAAGACGCTCAAGCGTTGCTACATTGTTTTAGCGCTTGTTTTACCACATTTCCTTGAACGTGTTCAGCTCCGTCGCTGTGGATCTTAATGCCTTCCCGCATGCTTAGCTGTCGTGTCCAAGGCCGTTCAAGCATTGCCGACGCGCTGAAGACGCTCAAACATTGCTACATTGTTGTAGCGCTTGTTTTGCCACATTTTTTTAAACGTGTTCAGCTCCGTCGCTGTGGAGCTTAATGCCTTCCCGCATGCTTAGCTTGGACGCCCGAGTTATCCGGGGTAACTCGGGTCCGGGGTAACTCGGGCTTGGATTCCCGAAAAAGGAACCCGAGTTAGCCCTGACCCGAGTTACCCCTGATGATGTGGGGCCCTGGACGCCCGAGTTACCCGGGGGAACTCGGGTCCGGGGTAACTCGGGCTTGGATTCCCGAAAAAGGAACCCGAGTTAGCCCTGACCCGAGTTACCCCTGATGATGTGGGGGCTCTGGACGCCCGAGTTACCCGGGGGAACTCGGGTCCGGGGTAACTCGGGCTTGGATGCCCGAAAAAGGAACCCGAGTTAGCCCTGACCCGAGTTACCCCTGATGATGTGGGGCTCTGGACGCCCGAGTTACCCGGGGGAACTCGGGTCCGGGGTAACTCGGGCTTGGATTCCCGAAAAAGGAACCCGAGTTAGCCCTGACCCGAGTTACCCCTGATGATTCGGGGCTCCGATTCGCTGTCGTGCCCACGGCCGTTCCCTGTCCTCGGTGCCGCCGCCGCTCCCGCCTTCCCCGGTTCCCGCCGCCCTCCCGTCCCCCACGGCCGCGCGCGCAGAGGCCATGGCCAACGACGTCCGGACAACGCCCTGACGCTGGCTTGGCACCCGCGCGGAACAGGCCCAGGGACCGCGCGAACAGCCAGAAGCGACGACCGCCCAGGGACCGCGCTTTCCCTGTTGCCGCCGCCCTCCGTCCCTCCCGCCACGCGCGCAGAGGCCAGGGCCAGCAACGTCCGGACAACGCCCTGACGCAGGCTTAGCACCGGCGCGGAGCAGGCCCAGAGACCCCGCGAACAGCCAGAAGCGACGACGGCTGAATCTAACAAAACGGTTATCGTACAAACGTAGGGAGCACGCGACTCAATGAAAAGGAGCTGAGGACGTGGTAGAAGGCAACGTGAAACAGCGCAGCTGGTGAATATGAAAACGATGAAACAAACCGAGCCCAAAAGGCACAAAAACACGAATCGTTTTATAGCGGTTCCAGTTGTCAACGCGCCGAATTAAAGACGAGGGGAAAAAACAACCCACGGCATCTTTAAAGCCTCGCCATCCCTCGGGAGTTGCGAACCGCGGGGTTTTCGACATCTTCCGGGGCTGTCGGGGGGTCCACAGGAGCGACGTCCTACGCAGATTCCAAGTCGACCTCGCCATCCCAGGGGGGACTGCGAACTGCGAGTCTGTCGCCGCCACTTCCAAGGCTGCTGGGGGTCCAGCGGAGTGACGTCCTACGAGAGTCACACAAGGCCTGACCATCCCTGCGGGGCTGCGAACTGCGAGTCGTTCGACGCGCTCGAAAGCTGCTTGGGGGGTCCAGCAGAATGACGTCATATGCAGGTTCAGATTCGACCTCGCCATCCCTGGTGGGCTGCGATCCGCGAAACGGTCGCCGCTCTCGAGGGCTGCAACGGGGTCCAGCAAAGAGGCGTCCTACGCACACTTGGGTTCAACCTCGCCGTCCCTGTGGGGGGGGGCTGCGATCCGCGAAACTGTCGCCACTTCCGAGGGTTGCTGGGGGGTCCAGTACAGTGGATGTCAGGCGCATATTTTCAAATTAAATCTCGCCAGCCCTGGGGGGCTGCGATCTGCGGAATTGAATACTTTCGAAAACTGCTGGGCGGGCAATTTGACTGCTGACCCCAACCAGGCCTCGACAGGGGCGTTCGTCAACGAAGCCGGTGACGGGGTCGCCCACGTGACCGTCAACCCGGATGAGGACGAGGTGGGGGCAGTAAAGGCCGAGCAACGTGCGGCGTACATGCAGTGCCTGCCGCACGGCGTGTGGGCGCGCACGGACAGATGCGAGGCCGGCCCCTGCGGCAAAAAGTTAGCGAAACTCGATCACAGCATCGACGTCGCGAGCGCGGTGCGCCTCGTCTTCATCGAGCCGCGAAGTTCAAGCCCGTTCGACTTCCGCAAGCATAAGGTCTCGCGCGCAAGCCTTGTTATCTCCCATGCCGAGGTCCCCCTCCAAAGCCTGCCAAGGGCCGGGCCATGCCCCCCGGAGTCATTGTCGACGCCGGGCTCAAGGACGAAGAGGAAACGGGCGACCTCTGGCTGCATCTCTACGTGATGCTCTCCAAGGCGACAGCGGTGGACAATCTGCAGATGATGCGAGATCCTGGACACCGGCCTTGATTTCGTTGCCCGCGGGCTGCCAGAAGACCTGGCGGCGAACCTGCGGGCGTTCAGCTCCCGCGCTGAAGCGTGCAGCAAAGAGGCGGAGAAACTGGCGGGCGAGCTGGGCCCCGATTGCATCTTGGACTAACTCTAAAAACCTGATCTTGTGGAACGCCGGAACGATATTGGGCGGGGCGCGCTGCATGTGCAGCGTGCCGCTGGGAAGAGAACGCCACCCTTACTTCTCATCCCGCCTCGTTCGCTGTCGTCTTCTTCCCCCTTCCGCCGTCTCCCTCCTGCTGCCGCGCTGACTTTTCGGCCCCTCTCGTGTCCTTCGCCTCCCCCGCGTTCCCCCCCTCATTTCCTCTTCGAGCCTGGGGCCTCGGTCCTCGTCCTTCTGCTGCTGGCCAGTAAGTCGTTCAACGCGCGCGCTCCCCATGTAGTTTGCGCAGCAGATGCCGGCGCCTGCTTTGTCGTTGTCCAAGCAAGTTTGGGCCAACTCCTCTTGTCACCTGATGCGAATGGATTGGGAACGTCACAAGGTATTTGTTTGTATGTGTGTGCGTGTGTGGGGCCTCCGCGGAGGCCTCCAGACGGCCTCTGGGGACCTCTTAGGGTCAGGCGCGGGCGCGACAGCGAATCTCGTCACTCCCTACCCATCGGCGGAGATTCCTCGTCCTCGTCGTCGTCGTCGTCGTTGTCGTCGTCCATCGTCTCCGCATGTCTCCTCCTCATCCTCCTCCTTCGCGTCCTCGGATATCCTCGGGGTGAGGAGCGGGGCAGGGGGATATAGATGGGGGTAGCGAAGGATGGGGGCAGAAATGTGGGGCAGGATTTGGGACAGAGCGTGGATGACTGAGGACAGAAGGGATGAGGACATGGGCAGAGGAAGGAGGGACGACGGGAGGAGGTGGCGCAGGAGGGTGATTAGGGGGAGGCGAGGGTGTACCTTCGAGGGCGGACGAGGCGGATGAGGATGAGGCTGCGCAGCCAGAGCACGGCAGGGGCGAAGAATGCCACGCTGCGAGGCAACACCAGGAGGCTGCCGCTCGGAAGCGCCACTGCTCGTCTGCTGCAGGGGGAGGCTCTGACGTGTCTATGTCTTCCAGGGCCGATCTCCCCCTTCCGTCGCGCGCGCCCTCGAAAACCGACCCCCCGGACGGCCGCCAGGAGGAGGCGGAGGAGGAGGAGGAGGAGGAGGAGGAGGAGGAGGAGGGAGGAGGAGGAGGAGGAGGAGGATGAGGGGAGGAGGGGAGGGGGAGAGGAGGGAGGGGAGGAGGGGGAGGAGGAGAGGACGAGGAGGAGGAGGAGGGGAGGGGAGGAGGAGGAGGAGGAGGGGAGGGGAGGAGGAGGAGGAGGAGGAGGAGGAGGGAGGAGGAGGCTGTTCGGCCTCCAGGCGGCCAAGGTGGCCTCCCAAGACGGCCTCCAGGACGGCCAGGAAGGCACCGGGCGGCCCACCGTGGCCCAGAAGAGAGGCTCCCAGGACGTCCCCAAGAGGGCTCCAGGAGACCTTCCACGAGAGCCCGAGGAGGCATGCACGATTGCTTTGCCTTAGGTTCTGACTGAGTTTGAAGTCCTTGCTTGTTTGGGTTTCCGACCGCTCAAGACGGCCCAAGAGGCGAGATGTACGACTCGATTCGGGGGGCTCGGGTTTGCCTGACGAGGCCATCAGGAAACTGACGAGACCCGCTCTGAAATTCGACGCGAGCTCCCGCTGCAGGCATCCCACGAAAACTGGGCCGCCAACATCCAGGGCGGGCTCGTCAAAGCGCGTAGGCGAACCCGAGTTCCCGCGTACTCGAGCCTAACGTCTCCCCGACAAGAGGCCCCCAAGGGGGCCTCAAAGCGCTCAGTAATGGCACCACGACGCGACGACCCCCAAAAAAGGCTCCCACAAGGGCACCCGAAGGCGCCGGACCAGCCCAGAGCCCCCCCTAAGACGGCCCACGATGCCCCATGAAACCTCCAAGAGCCCCCATCGAGACCTCCAGGAGCCCTCCAGGAAGCCCCCAGGAGGCTTCCAGGAGTCCCCCAGCAGGCCCCAAGAGGGCGCCAAGAGGCCTTCGCCTTCTCGTTTTCATTTTCTCCCTCTCTTCCTCCTCCTCCTCCTCCTCCTCTTCCTCCTCCTCCTCCTCCTCGCGACCGTGCGGACGAAGATGAGGCCGAGTTCACGACCCGCCTCAGTTCAGGTCGCTCGTTGAACTGCAGCAGGGCATGAACTCGACCTCCCCCACTGCCGCGCGGACAAGTACGAGGTCGAGTTCACGACCCGTCCCAGTTCAGACCAGTCGTCTGAGTTGCGCTGCTCCTGCACTCAGTCTCCTTTTCTGCTGCGCTGTTGCACAGACACAGTGGTGGGGATTGCGGCAGGCAGCTGGATCTTAAATCATATATGTATGTATGCGTATATACGTATGTGTGTGCACTCTCTCTCTCTCTCTTTCTCTCCCTCTCGCTCGCACGCTCTTTCTCTCTCCCTCTCGCCCACTGCACTCACTGCTCTGTCGACTCAATATCTGTGCATACAGTATGTGCGTACGGCGGCACGCGCGATTATCATCGTTGCCCCTCAGAAGTCAAAGGAATCTCTCGTTGTTTATATCACCCTCTCCTAGTGCCGCCCGTGACACCGCAGGGCGCACCTGGCCATCGGGAGGCCAGGACATGTCAGCGAGGCACCTGCTGGCAGGTTGGTTTCTTGTCTGATGTGCCTGCTGCTCTCTTTGTTTCTTTCTTTCTTTATCTCTTTCTCTCTCTCTCTCCCTCTTCATACATATGACAGATCCGCAGCCCTGGCTACACAAATCAACCTCCTCCCCCCCCCCCCCAGAAAAACAAACATGATACCGGAGAAAAACACCAATTAATCTTTTTAGGGCTATCGGGCGATTGGGCTATAGGGATCTAGGGCTACAAGGCCATGGGGCTACAGGGCTACAGGGCCTTGCGGCTTTAGGGCCATAGCGCTATAGGGCTGTAGGGCTGTAGGGCTATAGGGCTACAGGGCTACAGGGCCATCGGGCTGTAGGGCCATCGGGCTTGTAGGGCGGGCTACGCGCGACACGCCGACCGAACGCTCCTGACCGTGCCCGCGCTCCTCCCAGACCCCCGACGTCATGATTTTTTCATGACGCGACCCCCAGAAGTCCGGACCCGTTCCCCAGGACCGGCTTTTCATCCTGAGTCGTTTTTTGACGGTCCTGAGGGCTGGTAAGGGTCCCCAGAGGCCGAACATAGCGAAAACCTCGCGTCGTGATTTTTTCATGACTCGAGGGGGTCTGGGCTCGCCGTCTGGCTCTCGGGCCGTGGCTATTAAGGGCCTCTGGCCGCCGACCGGGGGCGAGGGCGGGCCCGCCACGGAGCGCGCGCCCTCGGCGGGGCGCGGCCTGCCGGCGAGCCGCCCCGGGGCCGGAAGGCCGCCGATCGGCCGACGGCCACGCCCGAAAGCCTCGAGCCTCCAGGACCGACGAGAAACAAACTCCTCCTCCTCCTCCTCCTCCTCCTCCTCCTCCTCCTCCTCCTCCTCCTCCTCCTCGCTCGGAGGCGAGCCCGGGGGGGGAAGCGAGAAGGAGAAGGCCTTCCCTCCGAGGCCCGACAGCCATCCCTTCGCTAATTTTGGGCCCCAGGGCCCACTGAGGCCCCAGGGGCCCCAGATTAGTGAGGTGATGCTTTTTCCCACGTGAGGACCCCGAAATTCATCACTTCACTAAACCGAATCCAGGACGAAAGTCAGGGGCCGAATTGCTGCTGTGATGCAACATCGGTCTCGTATTCCCAGAAGGCTGGGAAGTCCCCCCGGCCTTCCGAGAAGCTTCCCGAGCCTTCCCCGACGACGCCGAAAACTTTGTGCAGAAGGCCCGCAGGCTTCTGAGGCGCCCCCCGCCGCCTTCCGGGAGGGCCTTCTCCCTCTCGCTTTTTCCCCTCGCTCGCCGCCGAAACGCTTCTGACCGTGGCCTTAGGTCGGGCATGTCCCCCTACAGGCGGATTTTGGACGAAGAATGGTCAGTAAACAAACAATGCTCCAACATGGTCAAACATAGTAAAACAATCGCCCCCAGGCTATTTTTAGGCTACTTCTGAATACTCCTCCTGTACAGGGACGTGCCCGACTTCACCGTGGCCCCCTCCCTCTCTCCCTCCGAGGCGCCGGCTTCCTGGGCCGCTTCTTGCCAGGGCGCGCCTTCCGCCCGCCCGCCTTGGGGGGGGGGGGCCCCCTCCGCGCGCGGGGAGGCGGGGAGCGCTGGCGCGGAGGAGGAGGGAGGAGCAGGAGGACGGAGGGGAAGGGGGGAGGGATGGGGATGGAAGAGCCACACCATGCGCGCGGCGAGCGAGGGGGGAAAAGGGGAGGAGGAGGCCTCCTCAGAGGGCGGCGGGGACTCTCAGAAGCCCTCCGGCCCTCTGAAGGGTTTTCTCTGCGCCCTCGGGGAAGGCTCGGGAAACTGCTTAGAAGGCCGGGGGGGACTTACGAGCCTTCCGCCCCTGGGCTTGCTGCCGATCGGGGGGGAGGGAGGCAGGGGGTGCGAGGGCCCGCGCCGATCGGCAAAACAGTGAATAAGAAAACGACGACGTGGGTGGCGTTCTTCGTTCTCGTGGTCGAAGTGCAGCTGATGACGGCTGGCTCCGGGTCCGGGCACCGAGCCTCGATCATCGGCGCCCTCTCCGTGCCTCTGTGAAGTCGGGCCTGTCCCTCTACAGGAGGAAAACTCAAAAATGGTCCCGAATAGTCTCGGGACGATTTTTTGGAACATTCTTTGGTTTTCTCCATTTTTCGTCGAAGGTCCCCCGGTAGGAGGACAGGCCCGACTTGATGCCTCTGCGTGCTGGCGCCCTCGCTGCAGCTGCCGACGTCGGCCCCGGCCTCTGTGCCCACGGCGCCTGGCCTCCCCCCTCCCCCCTCCCCTGGCCATCGCTCGGACGTCCATTTCCGGTGTTTTTTTCGGTTTCGTGCGTGGTTTTTTTCGCGAAATGATCAAGGATGCTCCTCGATGGTCCTCGCCGAAGGAAAAATGCACACGTCCGAGCGATGCCAAGCCCCCCCCTCGGAGGCGAGCAGCGAACCGCGGCGACGCCCGCCGTGCGCACGGCACGCCCAACTTGCCCGTCCCTAGGCAAACGCATTTCACCACTCACAAAGTAGCTATTTGCAAATTGCCTGGATCCGCCACGAGGGATTTACGATCTTTTACGTAGAGGGGGACATTTTTCTCCTGACGTTTGCGAGTAGGCACCTTGCGAGTAGCGGAGCGCTCGGTGAGTCCCGAGCTGATCAGCGGGCAGGGGAGGTCGTTAAGGGAACGAGCAATGACACGAACAGAAAAACTCGGAGGTCCGCGAGGCTTTCTCGGAGCGGCGCTGACCCCCCTCCCTGGCGCGCGGAGCGCGCCAGGGGCGGCGCCGGGGGCACCGATGGGGGGGGGGGCCAGCGCCGATCCGAGAAGTCCGCGCGGACCTCCGATTTTTTGTAATTATGCCATTGCTCGTTTCCCCGAGGTTTAGAACCAGGAGGGAGGGGTGCTCAGGCGGCGATTCCGTGGCGCGCGGCTGTCTCTTCTCCTCCTCCTCCTCCTCCTCCTCCTCCTCCTCCTCCCCTACTCCTCCATCCGCCTCTCCTCCTCCTCCCTCCTCCTCCTCCTCCTCCTCCTCCCCTCCTCCTCCTCCTCCTCCTCCTCCTCCTCCTCCTCCCTCCTCCTCCTCCTCCTCGCTCCTCCTCCTCCTCCTCCTCTCCTCCTCCTTCCTCCTCCCCGCCTCGCTCCTCCTCACTCCTCCTCCTCCCCTCCCTCCTCCTCCTCCTCCTCCTCCTCCTCCTTCCTCCTCCTCCTCCTCCTCCTCCTCCTCCTCCTCCTCCTCCTCCTCCTCCTCCTCCTCCTCCCCGCACAGGCAGGCCAGGGAGGCAGGAGGATTCAGGGGCAACGATAGGGGGGGATAGGCACAGGGGGGGATGCATCGACCCCCAATCGTCCATTGATCGCCGATAGGGGTCTGATAGCCCCAGCCCGCCCAGGAACGTGCGGATTCACTCTCGGGGGCCTGTCGCCGATCTATCGGCGATGTATTGCCCATTCGAGGTCGATGTTTCCCTCCCTATGCCTATCCCCCCCTATCGTTGCCCCCCAAGGATGGGTGGGGTTCTCCTGCTACACCTTGGGCTTTATCCAAATTTGGGAGCGGAGCTCCCCGGAGGTCTGTTGTGCAAGATCTATTGCTGCATGGGCCCAGGTCCCGCGTGCGCCCCACGGCCGAAGAGGCGCGGCAGCGGTCGGCCTGCTCGCAGCGAAGCGCGCCTCGGGGGGCGCTGGGCACCCCTCGCTTCCTGCACTTGCCCCCCGCGGCGCGCAGCAGGACCTCCCCGCGCGACCTGCCCCTACTGCGGACCTGGATGCCGCTGCCGGCTGGCCCCCGTGAGAGCGGAGCGGAGGAGGAGGGGGACGGAGGGGGAGGACTCGACGGAGGATGCGGCTCCCTTGCGCTGCAGCTGCGGAGCGCCTCACGATCACGCCCCAGTGGGCCGGTGCAGTGACGGTGCGACGCCGCCAGCATCACTGTACAAGTGCCCAGCTTACTGTCGCTCGTATGTACCAACGCAGGAGCACGACGCCAGCCGCTGGGGAGGCCCACTGCTGTGCGCCTCCCCAGCGGCTGGGCCGCGCACGCTGGTGGCCGCCTGGTGTCCTCGATGCAGCGGCTCCCTGCGGCGGCACCAGTCTCAAGACAGGGCCAGAGGAAACCCGACCCCCACGCGCAGGCCGCTGCTGGAGACTGGCTTGAGCCCAAACTGCCACGGACGGACCAGGGGGAGGAGGAGAAAGAACAGGATGGGGACGCCTCACCTTCTCCTCCTCCTGACTCCTCGCTCCATCCTCCCTCCCATCTCCCCTCCTCCCTCCTTCACTCCTAACGCCCATTCCTCCCCGATCGAGGGGAGGAAGAGGAGGGGGGGCAAGGGCAAGGAGGAGCATGCCCAGCCAGACCTTCCTTCCCAGACCTCCGACGGTGTAGCGTTTGCTCGCGACGTGGGCCTCGGGATTCCCGAGGCCCATTGACAACATATGTTTTTTTTTCCGACGCAAGGAAGTTCTGCGACGGTCTGGGGCCCGAGAATGACTAACGCAGAGGCCGCATTCCAGGGAACCGTGCGCGCTTATTCTCGCCAAAGGAATACCTTCCTGTCTCGCCCCGCGGCGCTACGAGTTCCGCGACTTCCCCACCCCTCCGCACCCGCCTGCTCTGAACTATAAAAACGCTAACGTTGAGTCGGGCCTGTCTCTCTACAGGAGGAGTCTGCAAACATAGTCGCAAAATAGTCTGGGGACGAATTTTAGACTATTTTCGACCATTTGGGAATATGTTTGGGGTATCTTTTATTGTTCGTCCCAAATCCCCCCCCGTAGGGGGACATGCCCGACCTCACGCGAACAACTCGACCTCATCCTGCCTCCCCCTCCTCTCCCCTCGGGTCGGGCGAAAGGGGGGGATAGCAAAGGGGGGGGGTGAGAATCAGCTCACATAGCTGCTTTTCCCGGCGCCTCCAGGCGCCGGATGCGGAGGCGCCCATGCATCGAAGAATGGGCCCCTCGGTGGGGCCGAAACCAGCTGCATGCTGCAAATTTCGTACCCCCCCCTTTCCCAATCACCCCCTTTCGTCCGGCCCGACAAAGGGCCCACGCCCGATCCCGCCGGAGAGCTTCTTGATAGTAAATATCCACCCGATCGACCTAAGGCCAAGACGGCGAGCGGGAATCAGATCGAATAGGGGTAGAAAGAATATGAGAACTCTAACGAATGGCTGAACTCTAACGAATGGCTGCCTCCGTCCCTTCTCTCGCCCTCCTCCTCTCGCTGTCGCCGCCATGGCCGTCCTCTCCTCCTCCCCCCCAGCCCCTCTCCCCCCGCGATCGCGGGAGCGCGCGCGCAGGCGGGGGAGGAGGAGGAGGAGGAGGAGGAGGAGGAGGAGGAGGAGGAGGAGGAGGAGGAGGAGGAGGAGGAGGAAGAGGAAGAGGAAGAGGAGAGGAAGAGGAGGAGGAGGGGAGGAGGGGAGGAGGAGGAGGAGGAGGAGGAGGACGAGGAGGCTGGAGGGCCAGGAGGACCAGGAGGAGGAGAAGGAGGAGGAGGAAGAGGAGGAGGCTTACTTTGGACTCGGGTACAGGCCGCGCCCCTGCTCCAATCGGCTGGTGGACCTGGAACAGGATGCTGACGGGAGCAAAGGAGACCAGCGCAGTGCGCTGGCGCTGCGAACGCGTGTGGCAGACAGGGCGCTCGAGATAGAGGCCCCACCCGCTCCGCGGCCGAGCGGCGCGCGCAGCACACGGGGTGCTGAGGCGAGCGCCGTCGGCAAAATCCCTGGCGCCTCGAAGAGGCGCCGCCGGGGCCACCGGTGGTGCGCGGATGTAGTGGCGGTTCGGTGCCGCCCTGGCCGCCGCGCTTCGGGCTCAGGAGGAGGAGGAGGAGGAGGAGGAGGAGGAGGAGGAGGAGGAAAGGGAGGAGGAGCAAGAGGAGGAGGAGCAAGAGGAGGAGGAGGAGGCGGAGGAGGAGGGCTCCAGGCGCCCCGCCCCCCTCCTGTCCCCTGCGGGGCTTCGCTCCCCGAAGGGGCGTCGCTGCGGCGGAAGCGGCGCGGGGCCTGGAGCACGACGCGGGGCAGGAGGTGGAGACGCGGGGCGCAGGCGCAGCCGCCTCTCGGCGCACCCCGTGCGCCAGCACGACATCGGCGGAGGCGCTCCTCGCCCTCGACCCCGCTCGGGAAGGCGCGGCGTCGCCGACCGACGCGGAGCAGCACGTGCAAGGCCAGAGGGTGCCTCGCCAAGTGCCCGCCGCGTCGGTGCCGCCGTCCACCGCAGAGCTCTCGCCGCGATGCCCGCACTGGGGATCCCCAAAGCCGTGTGGTGACAGACCGTGCGGTGATCTCGGAACCCCAAGGAGACCTCACCGCACGGTCCGTCGCCGCACGGCCCTGGGACCCTGGGGTGCCCCTCTCGCCCGAGACGTCCTCGGAGAGGGGCCCGCCTGCCACAACCGTGCGGTGCCCCCGACTCCCCACCGACTCACCACGCGGTGTGGCCACCACGCCGCCTGGGGGCCTCCGACCGCGGGTGGCGCCGCGCGCTCGCTGCGGAGCGCGGAAGGCGCCGGCACCGACGCCGTGCTCGGCACACGCCGCGCGCTGGGGGGCCTCCGGCTCGTGCTGCTGCTCTGCCTCCGGGTGGCAATCCACCTCCTCACTGCCTGCCGCTCCTGGTGGTCGGGTGGTGGCGGGCGAGCACGGCCGCTCTTCTGCTCGACAGAGAGGATGAGAGCGAGAGGGAAGATCAGAGACGGCGACGACACAGGGAGGAGGAGGCGGAGGAGGAGGAGGAGGGGGAGGAGGACTGGCTTGGTCACCGTTGGCCGAACCAATTCACGGGCTTGCTTCGCTTCTTTCTCGGCTGTCCGAGCTCGCAGCGCTGCAAATCCTTCCAAAGGTGCAACAGAAGCAGACGTTTACTGCGGCCGAGAAGTGATGGAATGTGCATGGACTTTGCGGCGTGTGAGGAGTGTCTCCAACTCCGCACAATTGACGGTCCAATCATGCTTGGAACGATGGCCTCTTCTCAAAGGACGCAGTGCTGTCGCCCAGCGCTGCTCCTCAAATCGTTGCGAAGACAGGAGCGCCTCTTCACAAGCTTGTGGAGCCTATGCGGGCACACTATCAACACACCAAACAGGACAGCAGAGCATACTTAGGTTTCTCTTGGCTCTCAATCTGGGTGCTAGCCAACACGTGGCCACTCTCGGGACTGAGGATCAAGAGCATCTTTTCCAGATCTGGAAATCCAATGCACCCCGCTTCAAGTCGATTGTTTGGGGCACCACCGTAGTAGCAGTAAAACTCAAGACAGCTATCACATCTGCAGCCCCACAGCCACGGTTCCCAAGCATGCCAGCCTACGTCACACTCTATAGCTGTGACTTTCCTCTCTCTCTCTGTTTCTCTTGGGAGGCCTCTGATGGGTGACCCAAAGAAAAACAGGAACGACCGCCGCCGCGATACGCGTCAACGTTTCGAGCTGTTTGATCGAACTCTGGACTGCGTCGCGTTCCGCTTGAGGGGGCTGAGTGCATTACAATCGCATGCTTAGCTTCTAGATCCGCTCGCCAGCTGGCGTGACCGATCCAACATTCAGGGGCGGGTAGGCATCAGCAGTTTTTACATCAAGATGAGTCGCTGTGTATCCAGAAAGGGCACCTATACACAATCCCTAGTACTTGTGACGGTGGTGCATGCAGCTGGTAGTATGGCGACGCATTGTGCAACCGAACAGCATTCATAGTCAGTGTTAGAAGGCAGAGAACTCACCCCCATAATAAGCACCCCGGCAAAGAAGCCAGGAAAACATCGAACAGTGCAAGGCTGTTTAGTAAACGCCCAGGGTCATTTAGTAAACGCCAATTGTCGGTGTCTGGGTGTTTTCTTGCTCCCCTGAAGGGTAACACGCTTGACCATACCGAGGGACGAAAATAGGCATAATGGCTAGTTGCAGCTTGTCCAGTCTGTGCTGGTGACTGTCATATTGTACCTCTGGCCGTGGCAACCTGCGTTCCCTCCCCCCTTTCACACCCACGACTATGACGATCTCAAGAGTCCCTTAATTATATAAGGAGGGGGGGCGAGGAGGAGGGGTGAGGAGGAGGAGGAGGAGGTGTGGAAGAGGAGGATCAGGAGGAGGAGGAGCAGGATAAAGACGAAAAGTGGTCAGGTGCAGGAGGAGCAGAGAGGAGGGGTGAGAAGGAGGAGGAGGAGGAGGAGGAGGAGGAGGAGGAGGAGGAGGAGGAGGAGGTAGGGGTGGTGATGAAAAGGAGGAGGAGGAGAAGGAGGAGGAGGAGGGGAGAGAGAGGAGGAGGAGGAGGAGGAGGGGGAGGGGGAGGAGGCGGAAGAAAAGCCTTGTTCGACCGATCGATGAACCAACGAGGACGAAGACGACGAAGACCCCCCCATCTCGGCCGCCGAAAACGCCGGCCCGCTCGGCCACGCGCTGCTCGGCCCGGCGGGCGCCGGCCCCGGCGCCCGCGGCGCGCCCTCCTCCTCCGCCTCCGGCGGCTCCTCCCGGCGGCAAAGGGCAAGGCGGCGCGGAGCCGTGGCCCTCCGGGTGGGGCCACCGCTCTGTGCCTGCCGCAAGGAGATGGATGGCTGCCCCGATGCTCGGGCCTGCTCCTCCTCCTCCCTCCTGCTCCTCCTCCTCGTCCTCCTCATCCCTCCTCCTCCTCCTCCTCTCTCCCTCCTTCTCCTCCCTCCTCCTCCTCTCCTCCTCCTCCCTCCTCCTCCTCCTCCTCCTCCTCCTCCTCCTCCCTCCTTCTCCTCCTCCTGCTCCTCCTCATCCTCCTCCTCCTGCTCCTCCTCCTCCTCCTGCTGCCCATCCTCTGCTGCACTCGCCGTGGCATCGTCTTCGTACAGGAGGCCCGACCACAAGAGGCCTTCCACGGGAAGCCCAACCCTGAGACCCCAGGACGTGCATGGATCTCTGGTGTGGGAGCGTCACGCTTTCCATCGCAAAGCCATCGAGACTCAAGAGACCCGGGGCACCCTGGAGGCAGGCAGGGTGCTTCTAGGCGCTGGCCTCCACTGCAATCGCCCTGGGGCGGGGGAAGGGGTGGCACGCGGCCCACTGGGGGAGGGTCGTCTGCCAGGCACCCCGTCGTCGCCTCTTCTTCGGCAGCCCACGAGCGGCCTGACGCGGCAGGGGAGGGAGGGCGGCAGAGGAGCGCTGCAACCGAGGGCAGGTGACTTCGGGTGGCCCACCGCTGGCCGATTGAGAGCCGCAAGGCGCGCGCGCGCGCCCAGATAGCTGCTGACGGTGGCCGAGGTCGTGGCGCCCCCTAACGCTGGCGACCAGCCTGACCTCCAGGAAGAGGCAGCACAGGAAGACGAGGCGCTGGAAGGTGACCAGTGGAGGAGTATCCCTCTCCCCCTCGTCATGCTACTGCTGCTCCGCCTTTCGACAGCATCCTGCTTCCCCTCCTCCTCCTCCTCCTCCTCCTCCTCCTCCTCCTCATCCTCCTCCTTCTCCTCTTCCTCGCCGTCATCCCGCTCATCCTCCTCCCCTCCTCTTCCTCTTCCCTCTCCCCCTCCTTCCGATCCTCCTCGCGCTGCTGCTGCTCCTGCGATGCTGCTGCTGCTGCTGCTGCTGCTGCTGCTGCTGCTGCTGCTGCTGCTGCTGCTCCTCGTCCCTGGCCGCACCCACGCGCGGGGGCAGGAGCAGAGCGGCCGGAGGGATGCAGAGGGAGGGAGGAGCAGCAGCAGGAGGAGGGAGGCGGGGCAGGGAGACGACGCTGACGCTGCCACTGACACTGCACCTGCCACCGCCACCGCCACCGCCACCGCCACCGCCACCGCCACTGACGACGACGACGACGACGACGACGACGACGACGACGACGACGACGACGACGACGACGACGACGACGACGACGACGACGACGACGACGGACGACGGACGACGGACGACGACGACGACGACGATCACGTGGTCGCTCTGGTCCCCCGCGGTCCTGGGCCTCCGCGGCCGCCCCTTGCCGCTCAGCGGCCTCGGCCGCCACCCGCGCGGCCACGGCTCTGGCGGCGTTCCTCTTCGCCTCCAGCGTGGCCCTCGGGGCGGCTCTGCTGGGGCCCTCGAGAGGAGGAGGAGGAGGAGGAGGAGGAGGAGGAGGAGGAGGAGGAGGAGGAGGAGGAGGAGGAGGAGGAGGAGCAGGAGGAGGAGGAGGAGGAGGACGGATGAGGAGGACGGATGAGGAGGAGGAGGAGGACGAGGAGGAGAGGAGGAGGAGGAGCAGGAGGAGGAGGAGGAGGAGGAGGAGGAGGAGGAGGAGGAGGAGGAGGAGGAGAGGGAGGAGGACAAGGACAAGGACAAGGACAAGGACATCCGCATAAGGGGGTGCCACGTCAAGACACCTACGCAAGTGTCTTTCGCACTTCTGCCAACATCTCCTGCGAGTGGTTGTCCAACAACCCTGCCTTCTCGCCAGGGCCAGCAGGGGGCAAGGAGGAGAAGGAGGAGGAGGAGGAGGAGGAGGAGGAGGAGAAGGAGGAGGAGGAGGAGGAGGCGGAGGAGGAGGAGGAGATGGGGTCCGAGTAGATGGGGTCGGAGGATCGCGCCGCATGCCCACGCACGACGCACGGCTTCTGCTCGTCCTCGGGGCCTCCGGGGGGCCCTCCTTGGCCCCGTGCGCGGCTCGCGAGAGGGCAAGCTCGTGCCAATGAAGGGGCCCAGACCTCCGGGGGGCCACCCTGTGACAGAGCGCGCGGCCCTGGAATTCAGTCGGGCCTGTCCCCCATACAGGGGGATTTTCGACGAAAAGTAAAAAATATCCAAAAAATAATCAGAAAAATAATCAAAAAATAGTCTGGGGAGTATTTTTTTGCATATTTTCTGACCTTTCTGGGGTATTTTTTCGAATCTGTTCTATTTTTCGTTGAAAATCCCCCTGTAGGGGGACACACCCGACAGAACCCTGGAATTCTGGGCCCCTCCATCACTGTTGGCGCGCACAGGTAGGTAGGGGGAGGGGGGAGAGGCTCCAGGGAAGGAGGCTGCTGCTCAGAAGGCGCCGGCCCTACATCTACAGACAATGCCCGGGCCTTCTGAGAAGCAGGGGCGCTTCCAAGAAACCTTCTCTCGGGGGCGCGCAAACATGGATTAGCTATCCATGGATTTGGCGCGCGGTCGCCACATCCATGGATCGGGGGAGGGGCCCTCCCCAAAATGCGGCCGAGAATGCGGCCTCGTTCGGCGGCGGAGATCCGCGGCTTCCCAATCGCGAATCCACGCCCCCTTGATCCGTGTTTGCGATCGCCGGATTCGGAGAAACAGGGGTGCTTCCAAGAAACCTCCCCCCCTCCCCCTTGCTCCTCTCCGACCAGCCACAGCTGGGGGAGCTGTGGTCCTTACCCCCCTGGGGGCACCCCTCGCGTCGGCGATCTCTCGAGACTCGCCATCGCTCGGACGTCCATTCCCCGTGAATTTTTCGATTTCGTGCGCATTTTTCCGCTAAATGATCAAATATGCTCCTCGATGGTCCTCGCCAAGAAAAAATGCACACGTCCGAGCGATGCCAAGGAGAGGGGTGTCGAAATCGATGGGCCCCCCAGGGGGGTAAGGACCACAGCTCCCCCAGTTGTGTGCGCTTGGCGCCTCTCGGGCCAGGGCGCGCTCCTCCTGGCGGCAGCGCCACTGGCTCCTCCTCCTCCTCCTCCTTCCCCTTTTCCTCCTCGTCTTCCTCCGGCTCCTCCTCCTCCCCGAGGGCGCCACACCCTGTGTATTGTTGCTTCGTTCTGTGGTCTGGGAGGCACAAGGAAAGGTGCTGGGAGGGGCACGACTGGTGGGCGACGACGGCGACGACGCAACAATTGTTCGCCATGAAACACCATGACACGCGCATGAATCTGGGCTCGGTAATAGATCTGCGAGGTGCGACGCAGCGGGCTAGCGGTTCATCTGGGGTACAGGGGTCCTTCTCTCCCTCCTTCTCCGCTTCTTCTCCTTCTCCTTTCCCTGTCCTCCTTCTCCAAACACAATTCCTCCTCCTCCTCCTCCTGGCCCATCATCCTTCTCCTCCTTCTCCTTTCCGTTTCCTCCTCTCTGTAGCAACACAAAACCAATAATACACAGTGCTTGGCGCTCTCGGAGCAAGGAGACGTTTTTTTTGTTGTTGTTTTTTTTGTTTGTTTTTCTCTCCTGCTTTTTGTCTAGGATGCAAGGACTCACTTCTTTGTGTCTGTTTTGGAAGCTCAGGTGCTCCCCGCGGCCTCCCCCCTAGCACCTCCTCCTTCTCTCACTTCCTCTTTCCCCCTCCTTCCTCCTTTCCCTTTCTCCTCCTTGTTGCAAAGCATGGAGGCCGAGAGTACACAGTGTTTGGCGCCCTTGGTGCAACGAAGCGCTGTGTATGTTTGGTTGTTCTGTTTGTTTGGTATGGGATGCAAAGGAACACGGTGTATGTTTGGTTATGTTGGTTTATTGGTGTTGGAGCTCCCGGAAAAGAAGGAGGAGGAGGAGGTGCTGGGGAGAGGCAGCGGGGAGCACTTGAGATTCCCAAGCCCAAAGAACCAACGTAACCAAACATACACCATTTGTCCTTGCATCCTAGACCCAGAAAGCCAGCACTACAAAAAAAAACACAGCGCTTCCTTGCACCAAGGGCGCCAACCACTGTGTATTATTTGTTTCCTTGCTTTGCAGCAAGGAGAAGGAAAGGAAAGGAGGATATTGAGGGGGAGAGAGGAAGGGGGAGAAGGAGGAGGCGCTGGGACGGGCAGGCCGCGGGGAGCACTTGAGCTTCCACAGCCAAAGCAAAAACAGCATAACCAAACATACGCAGTGTGTCCTTGGATCCTAAACCCGAAAGAAACACGACACACCAAAAATACACAGCGTCTCCTTGCTCCGAGGGCGCCAAACACTTTGTTTTCTTGGTTTTCTTGCTTTGCAACAAGGAGGAGGAAAGGAAAGGAGGAGAAGGAGGGGGAAAGAGGAAGGGGGAGAAGGAGGAGGCGCTGGGAGGGAGGCCGCGGGGAGCACTTGAGCTTCCACAACCAAAACAACAACAAGATAACCAAACATACGCAGTGTCCTTGGATCCTAAACCAACAAGAAACAAGACACACCAAACATACACAGCGTCTCCTTGCTCCGAGGGCGCCAAACACTGTGTATTCTTGGTTTTGTGTTGCTACAGAAAAGAGGAAACGGAAAAGAGAAGGAGGAGAAGGATGATGGGCGAGGAAGAGGAGGAGGAGGAACCGTGTTTGGAGAAGGAGGAAAAGAGAAAGAGAAGGAATGGAGAACGAGGAAGAGAAGGAACGGAGAAGCCGAGAAAGGATGATGAACGTGAATGCGATTCAAGAGAACATGTATGATCTTGGGGGGGGCAACCATACAAATAGATGAATATGAATATGCCTTTGAATCTGGGCGGCGCCGACGACGGCATTTCGCACCCGAAATACGAAGGGGGTTTGAAGACTGAGGGCAGCACCATGCGCAACTATGAGAGAGGACAGACAAACCCGACGACGACACTTTCATGCCGACCATAATGGTTTGGAGCAGTCTGACGACGGCATTTGCTCGTGCGCGAGGCCTTCATTCAAACATACGACCACGACACAAAAAATAGTTACGCCTTGGAGTACCACGTGGGACTTGCTCTAGAACAGGGACATACCGTAGACGGATCTACCCTTCCCCAACCTTGTACTGCGACGAACGCAACGGCCGCGCTGTCTGTAGACGCATTCGCCCCGAACGCATATAGACGCAATGACACCCAGTGTGCCCGTAGAGACACTTGTGGCCAGAAAGTGAGAGCGGCATGTGGCCTAGGCCTGGGATGCTCGTGTTCTCGAAGCAGGCGCAGTCAACCCGCATAGGAAGGACCGGCAACCTTCCCAGGGTACCCTTGCGTCCTCGCTTCGCTCGGTCCATCCTTGGCCGCTTTCGTTGGCCTCGCCCCACGCGAAAACCTTCGACATGGGCGCCCAAGGCACTTGCATCGTTACCGCGCATCCTTATGATACGGGCTGGCTGTACAGTCGGACTTGAGTGGGCAGGACACTTGAGAGGACACAAAGACTCTTCTGGCGGCAACGTGGCCCTAGAGCACCAAAGCAAACGCGGGTTGCATAGGTCGGGATAGACAAGACACAAGGGTACCCTCGATTTGGCATGGTCGCCCCCCCACCCCCCCAAGCTCTCGGCGGGGAATAGAAGCTCGTCCCTCCTCCTCCTCCTCCTCCTCCTCCTTCTCCTCCTCGGAGGAGGAGGGGGAGGCCGCCAGGCGCGTTGAACGATGGGATTTTTGAGCACTTCTCATGACCTCTCATGCATCCGCCGACGAGAATAATTAATTTCCAACTATTGTCGGGGTCCCAATCCGTCAATAAGCCGGCGGAACAATCATTTATTTTCCCATTATTGGCCGGGGGTTTATTAAAGACCCTGTGGGGTTACCAATCAAGGCCGACTGGAACAGGCAACGCCTGACTCAACTCAGCTTTGCAGCGGCGTTTTTGGGACCAAAACAACCCGCAGGGGTGCCCCAAATGGTGGGGGAAGCACTCGTCGTTGTTTTCGGTTTGGCAACAACTCAGGGTCTGGGCTACTCTCTCCATCCCACTGGCCACCATCCGCTCAAGACTGGACACCCGACAACTCCCAAGCGCCTTTCCGAATTGTTGGCGACGGGCACATATCAAACCTCAGAACAACTGGCGAACACATTCCTGGCCGTCACGACGACGACGGACGGCGACACGGATAGCGGCGACGTCGACGACAGACGGCGACGACGACGACGACGACGACGACGGACAGCGACGGACGGACAGCGACCACGGACAGCGACGACGACGCGGATGGCGACGACGGACAGCGACGATGGCGCAGACGGCGACGACGACGACGATGACGACGACGACGGGGCCGACGGCGCCGGACGAGGCCGGACGACGGCGCTGGACGACGACGGCGGCGACGGCGCAGGACGACGCCAGACGACGCCGGACGGCGGCGGCGAAAACACCGACGACGACGACGACCATGAAGACGACGACGACGACAACGACGACGACGGTGCCAGACGACGACGACGACGACGACGACGACGACGACGACGACGACGACGACGACGACGACGACGACGACGACGACGACGACGTCGGCGCCGGACGACGCCGGACGACGGCGGCGACGACGCGGTCGGCGTCGACGACGACGACAATGTCCTGGCGACGGCGTCGCCGCCACGCGAGGCGGGCTCCGCGGCGCGCTTCTTGGACGCCATCGCCGCGCGGGGCCGCGCGGGGCCGCCGCCCCGCGCCCGCCCCGAGCTGCCGCGCGGCCCTGCCGCCGCCGCCCGTCGCCCGTCGCCCGTCGCAGCCGCCGCCGCCAGCGCCAGCGCCAGTGCCAGCGCCGCCGTCTCCACCGCCGTCGCCGTGGTCGCTAGCGCCGTCGTCGTCGCCGTCGCCGTCGTTGGCGGCCCTCTCCTGCTCCCTGCCCTTTGTGTTTGCCGCCGACGGCGCCACAGTGAATGCAGGGCAGTGGCCGGCTTGAGAAAGGAGAGCTCGGACGGAATGGTCCGACCTCTCTCTTCGACTGCTGGCAGGAGGAGGCAGTCGTCCTCGGCAGGGAGCAGAGCCTTCCTCACTGAGCGACGCTGATCCCTCCCAGCAGTCCCGGCCCCCCGCTCCTCCACGCCCAGGTCCTCCCATCAGATAGTAGTGCGGCGGCCCCCGAACCTGACGCCGCCGACTCATGAACAGTCGCCTCCTCGCGGGAGGCAGGCAGCAGGAACGGGCAGGTCGCCTGGACAATCCCTCGGCACAAACGGCTCTCGAGCGATATCCAGGCCTGAACACAAACCATCTGCTTGACCAGGTCCACATCGAGAGAGACCCCGACCTTATCGGGATGCTTCCCTTGCCTGATATTGTTGCCATTGCGGTTGCCCGAAATCGTCGGGGGGAGTCACTTTTTCCCCAGCTTACAAACTTGGGACCCGACGAGTAGGTACGACAACTGAAGAAGAAAAACACATGAGAGTCATCGCCAGCGCCCCAGCGCGATGACACGGTGCTGGAGCCGATCCAGAACAACATAATCGAGGCAGCTGTGGCCCCTGCACGAGCCCTCGGCTGGACAAGAGGAGCCCGCAAAACCACGCAGACACACTCGACAACGCCAGGGGCCTGCCATTTTTCGCCACTAGTAAGGTGACCGTTTAGCAGCAGGAGGAGGAGGCACCCGCTGCAGACCCCGAAACTCCACCCGAGGAAAGAGAGGAAACACAGCAGCAGCAAACTCCATAACACATCGGGATATCTGGACCTTTAAGCCTATGGCTTCCATGTCCTCACGGGAAAACCCGTCTGCAAAGTAATTGCCACGCCTCATTAACCTTTCATGAGCTGATATTCCTTGCTCGTCGAAGTCCTTACGGGCATCTACCTTGGAGAGGCTAGAAATATTGGAGCTGGCCCCGGAGACACCATGGACCATGAGACCCGCGCGTTGGAGCTTGGGATGCAAGAACCTACCAGGGCCCTGGATGCACAAGTCCAGGACATTTTTACAATCGCTGTAGCACGCAGCGCCCCAGGGACAAATTTAAACCCCCGAACGCCTCCGAAGTCAGCAGCCTGGGGAGTTTGATGATATGCCGCCCAAATTGGGGCCGAGATTTCACAGAGGAGATTGGCGCCGGCACCAGTCGTGGCCAGGCACCACCCAGACCTGAAAAGCTGAACCACAGGGTGCTTGAAACACCTCCCGTCCATGAAAATGTGCCCCAAAAGACAGAGGTCGGGATGGGTCGGAACTAAGCCTGGGCAGCCTGAGGGCTCCGCTTCGCCCAGAGACCAGCGAACGTGCACAACGCCATCAGAGGCAGGTTTGGGCAGCTCGTCGCCAGGGCGCCTCAAGGCTCCATGCACGAAGAGGGTATACTCATAGTTGTCAGTCTTTCTGTCCATAGCGAGGTCAAGGATGTCTTCTGGGACGAGACGCGCGCGCTCCTCGGCGCAAGCAGAACACTGCCAGAGGCTGTGCCAGAGCGAGTCGTCGTGCTGACCGCACAGCTCGCAGTTAGGAGAAACGTCGTAGACAGTATTCTTGGCGGCCGCGCTGGTCCAGATGGCGTTGCTGGCGACGGCCCTCATGGTGGATTTATCCTTATCGCTGATCTTAGAAGAACGGAACTTCTCACGAAGAATGATATCCCAGCACCGCCTGCGGGGAACTCCAAACTTGGGGCCGAATCCCTTTCCGCGCCCCTGAGGGCCACAGCTCTCGCAAGCTGGGCCATCCGCTTGGGGCAGAGACTGGGGAGATTCAGGGGGTGCCCCCCATCGCCCGCGCACCCGCAAAACGACTTCGTGGTCCAACCGAGCCTGTAGAGGCTCACCCGGAGAGCACTGAGGGTGCCCGGGACCTTACCCTAATACCAATCGCCCCATGCAAGAAATCGAGGCCCACGCCTCGCGGAGAAGCTTGAAAGAGAGGGGCCCCGAGAACTGCTTGGTCTGCGTCAGCCACGGTAGCGTAGCGAACAAGAGGAGCAATGCTGACGCGCCAAGGCGGGTCGCTTTCCAACGAGGAGATCACCGTCAACGACCGGTGTTGCGGCATAGGAGAAATCGTTGGCATGCCCAATGACCGAACAAAGTGTAGCTCCGCATCGCTGATGCCGGAAACTCCGGCACTACAGGTGCCGCTGGCGAGGGGGCCGGCCGTGAAGATGCGGAGGGACTTGCGACCCAAGACGTCATTGTGTTTCTTCAACCGACGCGCTTTCCTCCTAGCAAGTGCCTGACGCCCCTTAAACTTGCAGTGCTTCCCTTTGCCTGCCCCGCAAGCGCGCAAAGCGCGGCTGGCGGCGTGGTCCACGCCTACGTTGACCACGGACAGAGCAGAGGCACCAGCCGCGTCGCCAAACTGCAGCTCGAGCTGCTGGGCGGCACTCCTGCTGCTGCACACCAGGCCAATCTCGTCCGTGGCCAAGGAGCAGCTTGAGACTTCGGTGATGGCCCGATGCAGGCCGCGTGCACTGGCAACTAAGCGCGAGGCTACATCATCAAGGTGGCCAGTGAGAAAAAGTCCCGCGACGTCGGCATAGCCAGCGAATCAGTCCCAAGCTGGAGGGGAATATCGAATAAAGCTCGTCGCCATCGAGCAGCCAGCTTTGACCCCAGAGCTGGCCACTGGTGCCCATCGAGGATCCCCCCAACGACAGGTGCCGAACCGATCGATTGGCCTCGGGGCAAGACACGGGTGATGCAACGAGGGAAATTATGCACCTCGCACTGATGCTCCAAATACGCGAGGGGGATGCTTTCGCAGTGCAGCCAAACATATGACCAAGAAACGTATGATTCAGTAAGTCGGGGCCAGCTTCCCGTCAGTTTCTCAATGCAAAGCTGGGCAAAGTTCTGTCGTTCACGCTGGGGGGGGGGGGGGGGCGAAATTGTTCAAGAAAGCTTGCCAGCTTTCCGGCAGGTTGGATGCGAAACGCTGGCCCAGCTTTTCGGCGGAAGGCTTCTGAATCATATGCTCGCCTGTACTTCTTCATGCCCCCGAAAAGGGCCGCTGGCGCGAGATTGGGGGCGGCCACAGCCTCGGCCTGGGCGGCCTGTCGCCGCGCGACATCGCCCGCGCATCGGTGCGCCCCTGCCGCCCACTGGATTATCGAGCTCCCACTGGAGGGACAGAGGGCGACGGGCCCTGCCCCGAAGGCGGCGCCAGGAAACGCGCGCGCCGATCGGCCGAGAGCTCCCTGGGGCCTTCCCCAGGAGAGCAAACAACGCAACCGAGACCCGGGGCGTGAGACGACCGACCGACGCGACGACCCACATCATCCCAACCAGAGCCTCCAGGGAAGCATGGCTGAAGATGCTGTAGTGCCTGAGGTGGCATCCATGACGGATGCGGCGCTGGCCTTCCTGTGCGCGCGGCTGAGCCCGCGCGTCTCGTCGGGGGCCAGCTGAAGCAGGGCTTCGATGACTGCCGCGGGGCTTGCATCTGGGCCCTCGCCAGGGCCCCAAAGCTTGCTGAACTTGAAGCCCCCCGCCCGAAGCAAGGAGCGATGGTCCGCGCGAATCCCGCCGCGGCTGACGAGGGTAGCGGCGGCCTTCCAGGCCCCGGGGCCCCAGGTGGCCAAGAGGGCCCGCTTGCCTCCAGAGCCGAAACCTTCGCGAAGCCAACCCCTCCACGAAGCCCTGCCGCCGGCCACGGCGCCCGCCTCAGCTCGCGGGGCAAGGGGGGCAGGGGCCTCGCGGAGGAAGCCGTCGCCCTCCTGCAAACCAAGATCGACATCGCAAAAGGTCGGGAGCGGCAGCAGCTCGGCTCGCCGCGCGTCGAGACAGTCCCCGGCGCACGGCAGCAGCAGCGGCGACAGAGGAGGGCGGCGACGTGAGAGACGCCGCGACGTCGAGGAGCTGGATGCCGCAGGCCTCGCCGGCCTGGAGGATCGAGAGGAGATCACGAACCTGGCCCTCGAGCCCTCGAGCCACCCGAGACCTCGGAGGGCGGTGTCCTCAGGGGGTCAACGGGGCTGGGCGATCTGTTTCCAGCCGACGTCGGGGCCCGCGGGTCGGCCAGTCGCAGCCGAGCAAGCGCTCCAACTCAAGTGCGGCCCGATCGGCCCAGAGGGCTGGTGCGCCAGCGGCGGCAGAGGAACGGCCCCCTCGCCATCGCCCCTCGCCGCCGCCTCCTTCGCCCCCCTCGCGTCGCGCAGTTGAGGGCCTCGGCCCAGCCCTGGCCCCGCGACTCAGGGGCCGGCCCCGCGGGGGGCGATGGAGGCAAGGGGAGGGGGGGGGGCTTGCGAAGGGCAAGGGCTGAAGATGCAGCAGTTGAGGACGGAAACGGAGCCTCGCAGGCCCGCGGGGATGCAGCGAGGAGCCCTCGACAGTGCTGATTCTACGATTACCTTTGCCGAGACCCCCTGGCGCGACGAAGTAATCGAACACGCTGGGCATACCCTGGGAGGAGAAGTGGGCGTGCGACTCAGTGAACACCAGGTGGGCCCCCAGCTGAGACACGAACCCTGGCGGATGCAAGACCTCCGGGTTGAAGCTGAAATCACCTGCTAAGACGAACTCGCAATCGAGGGTGGACACGAACTCCCCAAGCTTGGCCAGCGCCCCCGCGCGAGAAGAGTGAATGCCGACGGAATGCACCTAACAGAGCGAGCACAGGCAGCAAGCAGGCGAGGCGGGGGCGTGGACCGCGCAAGCCTGAACCCTGTCGTCCAACGCCGCGCGAGCAAGAGTCACCGCGCCAGAGCTATCGCCTTCCTGGGGGCCCAGGAGACCTGGCATCCAGATCGCCTTCCCGCCCGGTCGAAGGCGCCTAGCAGCGGCGCGCCGCAGAGCTTTCGAGCCCCACAACGATGCTCCTGGACCAGAAGAATGCGCGCATCAGGCTCCGACTCCAGGAGATCCAGTAGCGCGCCCCGCGAGCGGACGTGGACCGCCCAGATGGCGAGGGCCGCGTCATCGGCAAGGGTCGCGACCTGCAGGGGCCAGGGGCCTGGGATTCTCGGACTCCGGAGGCAGCTGAGCTGGAGTCAGGGGCACTGGGTCGGACTGCACAAGCGCGCGGGGCAGGAAGGGGCACTGGCCCTTTCGCGCGTCTGCTGTCTGCGCGCGCGCAACGCGAGTGCAAGGGCAGCGGGGGCTGGGGCTCCACCCGGCCGCAAAGATCGCGAATGACTGAATCGGCTCCAGCATCAAAGATGAATTCTGCAAACTCGGGCAGCGAAAGAAAGAGGTACAACTTGACCTGCGGCCTTTGATCCTGACTCGAGTTTTTTTTTTGGTTTTTGTATATGTATATATATATACTACTACTACTACTAATAATAATAATAATAATAATAATAATAATAATAATAATATCAACAATAATAGTATTAATAACAGTAATAATAAAACATACTGATAATAATACGAATAATAATACTACTAATAATAATAATAATAACACCAATAATACTACTAATAGTAATAATACTACAAATAATGTTAATAATGATAATAATATTATGATAATAATAATACCAATAATAATAATAACAAAAATAATATTAATATTAAGAATAATAATAATACTAATAATATTAATAATGATAATAATAATAATAATAAATAATAATAATAATACTAATATGAATAATAATACGAATAATAATAATAAGCAGTCCAGCGCATGGCGGTGGCGAGGATGGCCCAAAGAAATCGCCCCAGGACTGTCCAAGAAGCCTCGCGCGAGCCAGCCCTGACACGTTGTGCGAAACGCGGAAAAAGGGGGCGAGACGGCCAGGCCACCTGAGGCTGGCGACTCTCTCAGCCGAAAAAGTAGCTGACACCGAGAGTATGGGTGGGGCCTGGGAAGTAGGGCTTAGCTGCCCCGATACGTAACACGCGACACGTAGCGTATTGATACGGGGCTCAACAAGTATATTGAAAACGTAGATCTGACGCGATACGCTCACCGAAAACAACGGCCAAAACGTTGAGCCAACGTGTAACGTACTGTCACGGACGTTTTGGGTACGGCACGTGCTGCGCATCACAAGGGGCGTACCAAGGCAGCCTCAGGAGGAGGGCGGGGGGAAGAGGAGGAAGAGGGGCAGGGACGAGGGATGAGGAGGGCCAGGAGGAGGAGGAGGAGGAGGAGGAGGAGGAGGAGGAGGAGGAGGAGGAGGAGGAGGAGGAAGAGGAGGAGGAGGAGGAGCAGGAGGAGAAGAGGAGGATGAACAGAAGAAGGAGGAAGAAGACGAGGATGAGGATGAGATGAGGATGAGGAGGAGGAGAGGAGGAGGAGGAGGAGAGGAGGAGGAGGAGGAGGAGGAGGAGGAGGAGGAGACGGAGGAGCACGAGGAGCAAGAGAAGGAGGAGAGGAGGAGGAGAGAGGGAGGAGGAGGAGGAGGAGCAGGAGGAGGAGGAGGGAGGAGGAGGAGGAGGAGGAGGAGCATGGAGAGGAGGAGGAGGAGGAGGAGGAGGAGAGGAGGAGGAGGAGAGGAGGAGGAGGAGGAGACGGAGGAGGAGGAGGAGGAGAACGAGGAGGAGGTGAAGGAGGAAATGGAGAGGAGGAGGAGGCGCGGAGGAGGAGGAGGAGGAGGAGGAGGAGGAGGAGGAGTAGGACGATAGGAGGAGGAACATGAGGAGGAGGAGGAGGAGGAGGAGGGAGGAGGAGCAGGAGGAGGAGGAGGAGGAGGAGGAGGAGGAAGGAGGAGATGGAGGAGGAAGAGGAAGAGGAGGAGGAGGAGGAGGAGGAGGAGGAGGAGGAGGAGGAGGAGGAGGAGGACGAGGACGAGGAGGGATGAGGAGCATGAGGAGGAGGAGTAGGAGGAGGAGGATGAGGAGGAGCAGGAACAGGAACAAGCTATCCCACGTAGTGGTACAAGGACAATGACGGCTTCCTCCCCTGAGCTCGACGCGCCACGCGACGAAGAGGTAGAGCGGCGGGACGACCTGAACGAGGAGGGACACCTTCAGCTCTGCGGGCATTCGGATGGAGCTGCTGTGGGGGGAGCGGGCACCACCGCAGGCCCGTTTACAGAGCATTGGCCCAACTGTTGCAAAAAAGTCGGCTGGAACGGCCGATGACACTATATCAGAATTGCGACTTTCCCACCTGGCTCCACACATATCCTGCCAGCACTGACGCAAACTGGTCGCCCGATCATCGGGCTTGAACATCGCCTTATCAACAGAGTCAGCAGCTACTTTGTGAGAGTCCGTACTGTCGAGGCGGCGCCGCATACGCAGAAATGAACGACTGGCTGACCTCATGCGCGCCCAGCTGTTCATCTGCTCTTCAACCTCGACAATGCGCGCGTCCTCTGGCAGCTCAGGACGCTCTCGCGGCTTGCAGGACGCCGAGCCCTTGTAGGACGCCGCGCCCTGAGGCCGAGAGGCCTCTGCTGCAGAACAAGAAATACGCATGTCTAGGTCCAGCTCCGCCTTGTCGCTGCCGTACTCCTCGTCGGCGTTGGTCACCGTGTCCGAGGCGGGGTCGGGCGCGACCGTGGCTGTATCCAGCTCGGCCTCGTCCGACAGAGCCTCCTCGGCAGCGGCACTCGCAACAATAGCAGCAGGCAGCGGCGGTGGAACAGGAAGATGATCATCTTGCTCCGCCTCCGCCTTATCACACGCGCTCGCTCTGATCTCAGCGCTGGAGCTGATAGAAACGGGCTCAATCTTCGCCCCCCACTTCTCGCAACTGCTGTCCCCTGACCCGTGGCTGGGAGAAGGAACGGAAACCTCCTTCGCCTTCCCCTCATCGCAGGCCTTGGTCACAGCACGGAAAATAAACGTGTGGGGCTCCAACGTCGCCTCCAACTTCTCACACGCACTGTAGTTAGGAGTAGAAAAGTCGGGCTCGATCACCGCCTCCAACTTCTCGCATGCGCAATGCACAGAGCAGCAGGTGGGAATGTTTGGCTCCAACTTCGACTTCCCAAGCGCCTGCTTCTCACATTTCTTGCATGCAGCAACTTCCGTGCTGTAGCTGAAGGCGTCTGGGTCCGGTGCCCACAATACGCCGGCAGCCACTGCACCTTTCTCGCATGCCGGAGCGTGCCCCTGCAGACAGTCGGCGGCCTGGCCCGAGGTCCACGAAAGATCCCGCCACGGCTCCACGACAACGAGACCAAAATCCAGTGCCGCTTGACGACCCACTGCCAGGTGCAGCCTCCGCAGCGCGCGTCTCCTGCTCTTGCTGATCGTTCCATAAGGGTTCCACTCAACCGAAAAGGGGGGCACACTCCACGACGACCGGGGATGAACAGGCACGGTTGCTGCCATGAGCACGATTCGCCTCGCTCTTAGCCACCCGTCCGAAATTAACAAAAATACACAGTTCAGGTGCCACAAGCACGGCGCGATGAGCCGCCGAGGCACGGCATCGAGACTGGGTTGAGCCAAAGTAAATGGCTATGGACCCGCCTCGAGCCGCATGTGCTTGAGGAGGAGGAGGAAGAGGAGGAGGAGGAGTAGGAGGACGAGGAGGAGGAGGAGGAGGAGGAGGAGGAGGAGGAGGAGGAGGAGGAGGAGGAGGAGGAGGAATGGAACGACCCGAAGGGAAAGTGCACAGCACCAAAAACTAAGACGGGCGGCGCCGACGGGGTGGCGCTCGGACCTCACGAGGATCTGCCACTTCCGCCACCCTCGGCGCCGCTTTTTGGGGCTCCTGGGGGGTGGCGCTTGGGACCACACGAGGATCCGCCACTTACGCCACCCCCAGGATGCCCCGAGCTCGGCCACGAACGCCCGACCGCAGGACGTCTAGCAGCGAGCAGGCGGCTCGCGCGCGACAGGCCGAACGACGGCCTCATGACGGAGACGAGGCCCTGGTCGATCATCTTGTCGATGGCCTCCTGTACCTCCGTCTCACACTCCATGAGGTGGGCCTCGGACTGGATGCTGTCCTCGATCTGCTCGAGGTGCCACACGATGAGGTCTCCCTCGTGGACCACGGCACCAGCGTCCTGCTGCTGAACCAAGATCTGCAAGAGCGCGATCGGGATGACAGCACCATCAGCATCACCACAACCGTGTCCGAGGGCCACACCATCTTCAACATCATGTCCGCCACGCTCATCAGCAGGCTCGCCCTCGGAGCCGAGGGCAACGCAATCACTATCATGAGGACCTCCGCCAGGGTCGTCAGCAGGCTCACCGTCGGAGAGCACCACGCCAAGGTCACCACCACCTTGGACACCATTGCTGTGCTCATCACCTCCAGGAGAGTCCACGCTGCTGACTTCGCTGGAGGCCTGCACGTCGGGATCTTCCCGAACCTCCTCCAGCGGCTTGGCACTGCTCGCGACGAGTGGGTCCACCACATCCTCAGCCGACATGCCGATGTTGACCACCAACTGCGAGTCCTCTGACACAGAGTCGTCGTCCGCACCAGCCGCATCGCGAAGGGGCTCCACGTCCACCACGACGTGGGGGTGGCCCTGCACGGG